ACTTCTGGCGGAAGATGCGTCGCGAACCCCGTGGGAGGCTAAGGAGGTTATTCTAGTGGAATCCGCCGGGATTGAGTATAAAATCAAGAGCGTTGGACGGGTATGTCGCTGTACACTATTCCAAGAAACCGACCTCTCGCTACATACCAGACTACTCCAGAGTCTAGTTGCCTAGCGGAGAACCTACCCCAAGATTCATAACAATTTTCTCTTTCCTTCTTCTACTTCTTGATTCATCACTTTGCCTGAAGCTTAAGGCGTGTTTTGCTAACGTGTCGGCAGTCCTATAGACTTCCCCCGCGCAAAGCTGATCCCCCACCTGTATCTCCTCCCATGAGCCCCACTAGCCAGGACAATGACATATCGCATGCACCATACCTCGTGCTTCACTCTCCAATATCTCCGCTGACGCCTAGTTCACCGACGTTTTCAGATGGCTTACTCACACCCTTATGGGTTACAAAACACCAAAACCTTGTTCCTGCCGCTGTGATCAACTTCTTTCCCTTTTGCCTAGATCCCAATATGAGTTCCTTGCGCGACAATCAACTAAAGATAGAAATCAATGGACTGAAGAAGGACTGGTCCTCCTCGGGATATAAGACGCGATTTATCGTTGTTCTCCTTTCAGAAGAAAGTAACGGTGCTTTCACTGGGGATGTCGATGACCGGGTGACCGGCATTCGCAGAGCGACAAATCTGGACCAGAAATCTATCTTTCTTCTACCACCTGACGCAACACCCGACGAACTAAAAGAGTTTGGGAAGTCCCTTCTCACACTACTTCAACCGTCGCTGATGGAATACTATCGGGATTTGTCTAAACATGCAAGACGGAAACGAAACCGGGGTAGTATTCCTCCCCCGACGGCTCCACCGACAACGGGGACATCTCAAACTTTATCTCTTCAAGGATGGAATGTCCGGTACGAATTCAAAATGGGGATCTTTGCGGAATTCAGGCAGGAGATAGATGCAGCTCTTAGGAACTACGAAAGTGCATACGAGACTTTGTTTGGGCAGGAAGTCTTCGAGAATATTGCTGGCTGGAGCCCAAGGTTCAATGATGCACGCCTTCTGGCAGATACTTTAGCCATGCGAATTATTCGTTGTTTGCTGTGGACGGGACAAACCGCTGCAGCCGTACGGTCTTGGGTGGAACATCGAAGTCGGTCACAAGATATCATCAATCGGAGAGGTAAAGGCACAAGGAACTATGGTTGGGAGGCTTGGGAAGCCAGATGGTCAATGGTAATGGCACAATTGATTCGTCAAGCCGAGATTCCCTACCTCACCTCAGTCGGCATCACACAGGATCAGTTTAACGAACAATATTCAATCTTCATCCCCCGTGAAAAGACGGTCCCTCCCGGAGATGTGTTCTGTCCGTGGGAACAACTACACCACGAAGGCTATTGGCTGTATCGATCAGCCAAGCATACAATGTACCGACGTAATCTAGCAGAACAGATTCCGGACGAAGACAGGATACCGCCTGGGCAGTCTCCTGCTTCGCAGATAGCGAGCAAGTCCTACCTATATGACACATACTTGGCACCGGAGACTCATGTTGAAGCGCCTCAATCAGGGGTGGCGGGATTCAATCATTCCGCCCTGATTCTGACAGTATTGAATGCCGCACTAGATGAATTCTCCAAGCGTGACCAGGTGCGAAAGACTGAGTGCCTGAGGTTGGAGATAGCAGAAGAATACATGCGGGTAGGTTCCTGGACTAAAGCCTACAATATACTTCAGCCACTTTGGTCTAAAATCACTTGGCGGCATTCGGGCTGGTGGCAGCTTATGGAAAGATTCGGATGGGCTCTGAGGGAGTGTGCTGTACGAGTACAAGATGGTGAAACAATTTTACGAGTGGATTGGGAGCTACTAAACGGAGGTAAGACTTGTTTTTCAACTTTAGTTGCTTTGCAATATATCTCCTGCTGTACCTTTCATAACCCAGAACCTTGTTTTTTAACACTTGGCTGTTGCCAGCATTTCAACCAAAATCCGACTGGCGTTACGATATCCACAGAAGCCTTGAGGACATTACACCAGTTACACCCAAACCCTCTGTTGTTCTCAGAGCGGAGGATATTATATCGAGTGGTGAGTGTGCCCAGAGTTATGTTGCACGATAATGACTTACGATGGCATGGTTTTTCTTGCGCACCAGTAACGGCGTCGTTTATTTTCGAGAGATCCGAGGGAAATGTTGGCGAGCCATTACATGGTCAGCTCGTCATAACATCATGCGCGCAGCGATCGTCAAGCCCTGTAAGACTTTCTGAGATCAAAATCGCTTTCGAAGGCTGCCTGCGTCCAATAAAGTTACAGTCAAACCACGTAGCTGAAACGGACGTAACGACTCCTTGCACAGTATCGTCGCCGTTACTACGAGAGCCGAGCACATCAAGTGATACGGCATCCCTCCAGTCACCCACTAGTTTCTTAACACCACTCATTGGAACTGCCGATCTGACCATTGGCCCTTCTCAAACAAAAGTCTTCGACGTGACTTGTATCCCTCGAGAAGCCGGGGAGTCTCGAGTGGCCTCGATCACACTTTTGATTGAAGAAAACAAATTCGACCTGACTTGTGCCATGACTGACCTGACTCAACGTGAATCTTTTTGGTGGAAACAAACCAAGAACTGTGTGGCTCGAAGGAGGGTAGGCAAGAATCGAGACACTGGCAGATGTAGGATAAAGCCTAAACCGCCCAAGATACGAATAACAACTCCCAACCTGATGGATACATATTACACAAATGAACGCATTGTTCTCAAGGTTGGAATCCACAATGAGGAGGATGAGGTTGCGGAAGTTACAGCCGAGGCTAGGCTTTTTGGTCGACCTGAATCGGCGGCTAAGGTCTTGTGGCTTGACGAGGAGGGCTCGCCAGGGATACAGGGCTCCGAGAGGAGCACCCCAGTGGAAGGCATTTCTCATTTCATCAAGCGGCCTCTTGGGATATTGGAGACTTCCTCCCACCGGGAACTGGAAATCGTCCTCACGGGTACACATGATGCTTCTGATTACGAGCTTGAAATTTCATCTGTATACAATCTCATATCTGATACCCAGACTCCCATTATCGCAACCTTGAGAGTGAAAATACCGATAATACGGCCATTCGAAGCCAACTACGAATTCATGCCACGTCTCCATCCTCAACCATGGCCAGATTTTTTTACTGTCGATGATGCATTGCTTGGAGAAGACTCAACACCGAAAATTGGGGGCTTGCAGCAGCGGTGGTGCCTTAGCTCAAAGGTCGTTTCTTTTGCACTGACGCCGCTTGTCATTGAAAAAATATCGCTGGTGCTAATTGGAGTTGGTGGAGGTGCCACATGCCACATCGGCCCTGAAGCGATCGTTAGTCCAGGCGGGCCGGAGATCAATTTGGAGGAGCTTCGTGAGTCCAATTTTGCGGTGGATATCCACAAGGCAATTCTAGGCGACCGACGGCCTACGGCGTTGAACCTCGCTCTCGAGATTCAATGGCGACGAAGCGCAACCGATGAGAGTGAATCGGCCCTGAGCAGCAACGGTACGACTATATCCACACTTGCGGTTCCTCGCTTTGTCGTCCCTGGAGGAGAACCCCGTGTGCTTGCCTCGGCAATGGCCTCTCAGATATGTTCTGGATTGATTCACTTAGACTACACCATCGAGAACCCGTCGATGCACTTTCTTACCTTCAACTTAACTATGGAGGCCAGCGAAAATTTCGCCTTTAGCGGTCCGAAAACTCTGGTGGTTCAGCTGGTGCCTTTGAGCCGACACACGGTTCGATACAACCTACTGGCATCTAGACGGGGGCTATGGATACAACCACAACTGGTCGTGGTGGACACATACTTCAACAAAACCCTTCGGGTGCTCGCCACAGAGGACATGCGGTCGGACAAGAAGGGCCCCTTAGTATGGGTTGATGCCGAGGACTGAATCGCAGCTGCTATGGTTGCCTTTTGTGTTTTGTTGGTGTAGATGGCAATGATGGCTGCATGTCTTTTGTGATATAGACGGTATAGTTTGAGCGACCCTAGTGCGATAGATAACGAATGTCTTTATAATAAACTGAGCTACTAGTCCTATAGCTTTTACTAGTAGTATCCCGATCCTGTTGGATGTTCCCATAATAGTTCACATCTACGGAAAATTGTGAGATTTTCATGACCTTCACTCGGAGAGATAAACCCGTACTGGTTCACGATGCCACCATTCCCTTCCCTTGCATGTCTCCCTCGAGTACCGGTAGGACTCCCACCGCACATGGCAAGAATGGTAACAGATCTAGGGGATTAACCAGGAAATTTCTCGGGGTGACCTAACTCGGGACTTAGATGGCAACAATGCAGCGATTCAAGTCTGGAGGATCTACTGTATGCTGGCCGTTGTGTGTAGCACATCCAATCGGCCTGATACATTCATCTCACTTTGCGTGTCTTCAATGTAGCTGACACTGGATCACTGCGCTTTGGTTTGGGTTAGTAGCGAATTAAGAAAAGGCCGTGTATCATAAAGGACCGAATAACCATCGCTTATAGGGCTAGATTTGCCCTTAGTATTGTTCCTTTGAGAGTATAGAATGAGAGGCCCGTTGAAAGAACCAACCCTAAATCACTTGACTCCCTCAACTTATAAAGATCCAACGTTCAACGGTAGCCAAAATACCCCAAGGGTCAGCCAAATCAACTAATTCATATGAAAGTTCCCAGCAGTGATACCATTCATTAGTAACTTGACGTGTCGATCTGTTGGGGGCTGACATTTGGGAAATAAGTTTTCCTTGTCATTTATTTTTGAACCCTGGCTTAGTGCTTATCTTTTCGCATCCGCCTTTCTACCTCTCCTCCTCTCCCCTCCCCACGTCCGTTGTTTGGGGTCTACTAAAGCCCGGGCTTGATCTTTCTCGAATAGTAACTATTAGCCTCCACCCTGGACAAGAATAAATATCGAAAGGAAAAGGAGAGAAAGAAAGAAAGAAAGCGAGGATGGTATCCGGCCAGGATCCCGAATCAGAGATCTCAGCGCCACTCTTAGGAACTCATCCACCCGGAGCGCATGTCGAGTACATGCACAAGCACAAGCGATGGATCCTATTTCTCTTATGCACGGTGATTGTCACACTTGACTTTGGCACATTCCTCTCCCTTGCTCCACAGACTCAGATTATGGAATCAATCATCTGTCGCAAGTTTCATCCAGGACAATTTATCGATCTCCCACATGGACAGTTCTTGTCGGATAATACACCCTGCAAATCCGTAGATGTACAGGGGGAGCTAGCATTGATCAGTGGGTGGAAAGATACATTGGACCAGATCCCGGGAATTATCCTTGCCCTACCATTGGGCTTCCTGTTGGATCGCATTGGCCGCAAACCAGTTGCGATGCTAAGTATGAGTGGGCTCCTCATGGAGGAGATCGCGATCCGCATCATCTGTATGTCGTGACGACACTCAGCATAGTATGTGTGTCTTCTGGCTAACTACCTAAGGCGTGTATAGTGAGGCAGTTCCTCTCCGAGCTATCTGGCTCACGCCCTTATTTCAATTATGTGGTGGTGGTTCTCAAATAGCCAGCTCTGTGGCCTTCACCATTGTCACAGATATCTTTCCCGCAGAACAGCGGTATGGAGATGCCCCTTCCCCCACCTATTTGTAACGGATATACTAACTTCTATGCATTGTCTAGTGCAAACATATTTTTCATGCTCTTTGCGGCTGTCCTACTTGCCGAGATCCTCGCAACACCTCTGAGTGCTTGGCTTATGTCCTGGTCGCCGTGGCTTCCATTCCTACTCGGTTGGCTCTGTGAAGGTTGTGGCTTACTGGCAGCCATACTTATCCCGGAGACTCTGCCAAAGTCGCCAAACGAATTGGAATCTGAATCGGCAGATGAGGAGCGTGGTCGCCTTGACCCTCCACCCACACTGCCTAAATGGAAAGGGTCCCTCTATAGTGCAAGGTCCCATATCATGGACCTAAATGCATTTGTCTGGGGAAATGTCAACACGGTGGCTATTTCAATTGCATTCCTGGCGGCTAGTGTTGGAGCGCAGGCCCTCCAGTTGATCATCCAATATGCTTCCAAGCGCTACTCATGGACTATGGCAAAGGTGCGATGCTGCATGACAAAGGGCCGAATATAGCCACTGACACATCATGTATAGGCAAGCTTTCTCATCTCTCTAAAAGGAATGATTGACCTCGTCGTCTTGCTTCTATTGCTACCAACTATCTCCCACTATCTAAACCGGTATCTTTCCCCAGCTGTCAGAGATCTTCGAATAACACAGGGAAGTGCAGCTATTCTAGTAGTTGGATTTGGCATCATGGCAGTGGCCGATCAGCCAGTACTGTTCGCCTTTGGTGTATCCATTCTGGCCTTAGGCTGGGGCTTCTATTCCACCCTCCGCAATGTGGCCACAACATTGGTTGCAGAGTCTCAAATCGGGACGCTCAATACCACAATCGCTCTTGTCCAGGGGATTGGGAGCATGATTGCTGGACCGTTGCTCGCCAGTACATTTCGGAAAGGTATGAAGTTGGGTGGTACCTGGATGGGCTTGCCATACATGGTGGGTGCCATACTGTTTTTGCTGGCCGGACTGGCCGCGTCTAGCGTACGGACACCTCATTAAATTCACTTTATCATCCCAAACATATATATATATATATATTGATATCCATGAGTATAACGTCATAGCGTTCTCTAGGATTTCTATATCCCTCCGACTTTGTTCCCTTACTTAGGCGTAAAGCATTGCATCAACTTCTGCAACAATTCAATTCGTGGGTCTACTTTGACCTGTCATCGAAATGCTCATGGCCTCATTTCCGATAGGGTTGAAAATTCGGAGAACTGGAACACGCGCAAGGAGGGCAACTTTGAGATCAATCAATATTTGCGTACGCCTTGCCTTACCTCTAGTACTAGTAGTGAACGTTGTCAGTACTTATGTTCAGTGTAAGCAAACAAACAACCATATGAAGCAAGGCCTAATGTTTGCCTTACCGCAATTAAATGGGTGCCGGGAGACACCTGACCTCCTGCTGCATCTGGCGACGGTATTAAACGGTAGGAAATGCCTCGGCGTATTAACGGAAGATGGTACTTGAATACGAGGGTGAAAAAGCAAGGCACCCCCTTTTGAACCATAAAGGGTCAAATTCTGTTGGATTCCATGCGTCAGTCTTACTCCGTAGGGTCCATCGAACTTATTCCTGAGTTCCACCAGGGGTGATCTCATAGTATGATTCTACTGTGTAGAAGGGGATCTCTTGCGATGGTAAGAGGAACGTCATTACTCAACCCTGACAGGTACGGAATCACCAGTGCTGACAGTACGGAGTACTGTTCTGCCTGGACTCTCTCTGTCTGTCTTGCATGTATGTATGTACTACTACTGTACTTGCTTGTCTGCCTGGTGATTGCCTGTTGAGAGAGTATCTAAAACACAAGGAAAATAAAATTAGAATCAAAAATGAGAAAAATTTCTGTTTGTACAGAGATACATACATACGTACCAACCCGTGACACTCCAGAGATTTTCCTTCCCTTCTTTCCTTCCATGCTCTTCCTCCCTGCCCAAATTTCTGCCTTTTTGTTTTCTTCCCACCCTGTTGTTATTGATTTATTATACTGTCTTTGATACCTATCCGCCCCTCCCCCCTCCCCCCCCCCAAAAAAATTTCAAAGGTCTTGTTCTTCGTGATCCGGTGGTTCCTATTAGGACCTCTTTATATTTCATCATCAGATTCGGACTGGGCCCCCACCCCCAATTGTTCTCATTTTTCTGCGCCCGCTCCAGTGATAGAGAGGATTGACCACTGGGGCCATTCCCGCCCGCCGCCTATCGATTCTGCCCTTACCCTTTCTCGCCCACCTGATTCTTTGCTCTCTTCCTTCTTCCCCTCTCTGACAGAACAACTCTCCTCCGAATTTTTTTGCCCTTTCCTTCTTTACTCTTGAGTTGTGCATGTGCATTTCCGGCCTACAGTCTTCCCAGAACTTCTAAATTGCGATCATTCGAAATAATGGGTCAGACTTTGTCAGAACCAGTAGTCGATAAGGTACGTGAAACCGAGGGTTGCTGCTTTGGTCTTTTTGATCCCCCCACACTGCAATGTCCTTACGCAATAATTCCTTCCCTTCCGTCCTGAGGCCGCAGGGGCACTCAGTCGGCCTGCCACAAGCTTCCCAAGGGACGATCTCCCTACTTCAATTATATATATACATTTCTCTCGTTCTTCTATTCAATGCCCGATTCGCTTTTCTGGGGATTCTCCTTCAGTAATTACTTGTGTTGATTCGGTCTCGAGGCACCACATCGTGATGCACCTCACCTGCGGGGTCCTCCATATGAGGAAAGAAAATTTCCCGCGGACGGTCCACGAACCGATGCTCACCCAACATTGCGCGATGAATGGTCCTCATCAGTGCTAATATCGTCTAACTGTCTCTAGACTTCGTCCGAGGGCGAAGATGATTGCTGCATTTACGGCGTTTCAGCCATGCAGGGCTGGAGAATCAGCATGGAGGATGCCCATGCTGCCGTTCTAGACCTCCACGCGAAATATTCGAGTCCAGAAGAGACACCAACGGATCCCGCCAAACGCCTAGCGTTCTTTGGAGTATACGATGGACATGGTGGAGACAAAGTCGCACTGTTTGCCGGAGAAAACGTGCACAGGATCGTCGCAAAACAGGATTCATTCGCAAAGGGTGACATCGAACAGGCCCTGAAAGATGGCTTCTTAGCTACCGATCGGGCTATCTTAGAAGGTTCGTGAGCGTTGCCCACAAGGCTTCCGGGTTTCCCTTCTCCCCCGTTGCTCTTATCGCTGAGGCCTTGAGTGACTGACCCGGCTAGACCCGAAATATGAAGAGGAAGTCTCCGGCTGCACGGCAGCTGTCAGTGTAATCTCAAAACATAAGATCTGGGTGGTACGTGAAGCAAGTGTTACGACCGATTTACCGGTCAGCTATAGTCAGCTTGGTCAACCATTAACCGGACATAGGCCAATGCGGGTGATTCTCGCTCCGTGCTTGGAGTTAAGGGCCGCGCAAAGCCTCTCTCTTTTGATCATAAACCACAGAATGAAGGTCCGTGGCTCAGCCCCAGTTGAATCTGCTTCGTCGTCGTGGTCTTTTATTGATGAACTACTTTAGGCGAGAAAGCTCGTATCAGTGCCGCAGGTGGCTTTGTCGATTTCGGCCGTGTGAACGGAAACCTGGCCCTGTCGCGAGCCATTGGTGATTTTGAGTTCAAGAAGAGCCCGGAGCTTGCGCCCGAACAACAGATCGTGACCGCTTATCCGGATGTGACAATCCATGAGCTTAGTGATGACGATGAATTTCTTGTCATAGCCTGTGATGGTACGTGTTGCGCGATCACCTCTTTTGCCAACTGCACACTCATATCGAGCTTTAGGTATCTGGGATTGCCAGTCTTCCCAGGCTGTGGTTGAGTTTGTTCGCCGCGGTATCGCCGCGAAGCAAGAACTTTACCGGATTTGTGAGAACATGATGGACAACTGCTTGGCTTCAAACAGCGAAACTGGTGGGGTTGGATGTGACAACATGACTATGATAATCATTGGCCTCCTGAACGGCAGGACTAAAGAGGAATGGTATAATCAGATAGCTGAGCGGGTGGCCAAAGGCGACGGCCCTTGCGCTCCTCCCGAATACGGCAAGTCTCTTGAGGATTCTACGGCCTCCAACCCCTACTGACTGAGCGGGGATGCAGCTGAATTCCGCGGCCCTGGTATCCGTAATCAGTTTGAAGAAAATCCGGATGACTACGATATGGAAAATGATCGCGCGCGTGGCTTCAGTGTTCGCTCAGGCCGCATTATTCTTCTAGGTGACGGCACTGAACTGGTCCCTGATCAAAACGACGAGGAGCTCTTTGACCAAACTGAGGAAGACCGGGATCTGCCTAGTCAGGTACAACGCGAATCGCCTGATTCTGCCAGGAATGAGCGTGAAGGAACTCCGGGACCTCAATCTAAAACTGACGCTGCTTCCAAGTCTGAAGAAGGATCATCTGCTAGTACATCCGAGTCAACCTCTACTCCCGCGGAGAGCTCGATCTCTGGAGCCCCTGGAAAATCTACGTCGTAGTTGTGATGGACTCTTGCATCTGTATCCCCCTTTCTGTTATTTTGGTTTTTGAAACGAATCTTGTGATTTTATGATTGTTCCGCCTTGCACCCATGTCCTCCCACTTTCGCCTTGTTTTCTCGGTTTATCACAATAGTCACCTCTTCCCTTTCCCTGCAGTTGACACCCCGTGGCATTGAACGGGGCGGAACAAGTGGCGGGAAATCTTCTGAGTCCCTAGATGGCCAGGTATCTTTCATGTCTTGCAGGATGGGTTATGAGGGCTCCTCTTAGGATAGGAGGTTTTCGTTTTCCATTTCAAGCCGCGAGCGGCAGATCTTACGAGAGTACGTCTTGATTTATGCCTTCCCACAAGATATCGTGCCAAACGACCCACTATTGATGAGCTTTGATAATTATGATTTATTCCCCCCTTTCTTTTTCCCTCTCTTTTTTCATTCGTGACTTTCTTCCGCCCTTTTTGCTCCATATATCTACCTGTTCATTAACTTTCGTCTGGTTTCGTTCTCCCTCACCACTTTCCGGGGATCTGCTGCTCTCTTCTGTTATCCCCACCGGGTCGCATAATGGACCAAACGGGGCTCTTAGGAAGAGGCAGAGCCGGGGAGAGTAAAGTCGGCGGGGGAGTATGGGAACGAAGATGCTCTATTGCACATGTGACGGCGTACCCGGAAAGCAATCAATGGCATGAAGACCTTTTTAGTCAGAACTGGAATGGCATCTAGTCGAATGCTTCAGCAGTGGAGTTCTGGAAATGTGATGGATATAAGCGATCTTTCTCATTCTGTTATTTTTACTCGTACGGAATATAGAATCGTTGGCCGAGCGAATGCGCCCAAGCCCACATACCGGAGTGATGTATGATGGGATGGGGTGGGAAAGAGCGAGAGAGATATGTTGTGTAAAACGAAGCGTATAACTGGTTTCCAGGAAGGGGAAGAAAAGAGTATCTCATAAAGAGAAGGTCAAGAAGAGTGGGAAGGAACATTCCATTGGCATGGACTTGAAGGAATCAACCAAGAATTGAATTGTTGGGGCAATTGTAGAAGGAAGTCGAAATACATGTAATGGTTCTGACAATTCACTGTATGTATGATAGTATGGATACTATCGAGTATGTACTAGTACACTAGTATAGTGTACATCGTAAGTATGTTGGAAATTAACGCTTACCGAGTCATATTGGGGGCTCCGCCCACGCGCTGTCTCAAAGGTATTTTCGCTTTTGTATTTTAATTCTTTCATGTATGTATATGTATATCATAGATTATTTTGAGACTGGTCTAAAAAGTCTTACAATGAAAACCTGAAGGAGGATAATAAATAATACACACATATATTTTTCTTAAAAAAAGAAAAAAGAAAAAAAGTCAAAAATAGAGCACAGTATCTTATCCTTTTCACTTCTTTTCTCTCTTTCACGCACTCTCACTCTCCCCCGTCTCGCTCCACCCCCATGAATCAATTCGGAAGGGGAAACTAAAGAGCAAGACCCCTAAAATCATTAAATCGGGTCCCGTGGTTTTGTCCAACTCCTCCCGCTTCCTTCTTTCCCCGTCACTCATTTCTACTCTGTCCTCTTCGCGTTCCCAACGCGTCTCTAATTTCTGCCCTTGATAGTTCCCTCTCTCTTTCTCGGTTAATTTGATCATTAGATTTTCAAAAGCATACACACGCCCCTTTTCGACAGAAGTAGAGCAGGGCTCACTCGGTCATTACCTCATTCCATCATAATGTCCTCTCCGTCGTCGGCAGGAAAGCGCAAGCGCAGTGCTTCCCAACATCTTCCGTCCAACGTTATCTCCGCTGACCTTCTGCAACCTTCATCACGCGATGCATCGGGTGAAGATGGCGATGATTCGACCGGTCCGAATACTCCCCTTTCGGTCAAGTACAAGAAGCAGGCGCCAATTGATGTAACTTCAGCGGGCAATGTTCCGCCATCGAAACGGGCTCGGAAGAGCTCAACGACTGGCGAGCAAACCAATGGTCCTGCCACCGATGAGCCTTCGGCGCTCAGCAAAGAAGATCCGGGCGAGCCGTCCGAAACGACGGTTGCCAGCAGCGACATCGAAAGCCGAAGCAAGAGCCGGTCGGGATTACAGATCAAAACGACAGATGTTGAGGATACCGAGGACATGATGCAGCCACCTCAGCGGGCTGGGTTGCAGGATCCGGTTGGATACCATACCAATCCTCCGCCCGTGGGGCGCCCAGTGCGCGTGTATGCGGATGGTGTCTTTGATTTGTTTCACGTGGGGTATGTTAACGTGTCTATTCTGGAAACTTACAATGGTGCTAATGCAGCTTCTTGCGTAACAGCCATATGCGTCAGCTTGAGCAGGCGAAGAAGGCCTTCCCGGATGTGCATCTGATGGTCGGTGTGACTGGAGATGAGGAGACTCACAACCGGAAGGGTCTTACTGTCCTGAGTGGTGCGGAGCGCGCAGAGAGCGTTCGTCACTGTAAATGGGTGGACGAGGTGATCCCTAATTGCCCTTGGCTGTTGACTCCGGAATTTCTTGACGAGTACCAAATCGACTACGTGGCGCATGATGACCTGCCCTATGGCGCGGCCGAAGGAGATGATATCTACGCGCCGATCAAGGCCCAGGGCAAGTTCTTGGTTACTCAGAGGACGGAAGGTGTCAGCACCACGGGAATTATCACCAGGTAAGTATACCCGTCTCTTATTGTGGTGTTGTGCTGGAGGCTGACTGTAATGCAGAATTGTCCGCGACTACGACCAGTACATTTCCCGCCAATTCAAACGAGGCGCCTCGAGACAGGAGCTGAATGTGTCATGGCTTAAAAAGAACGAACTGGAAATCAAGCGACACGTTGCGGAGATTCGGGATAATATCCGGAACAACTGGACAACCACGGGCCAGGAGCTGGGCCGAGAATTACGGCAGCTCTGGCAGAATAGCCGGCCTGGCAGCCCGGCACCGAGCGCGAGGAACAGTGTAGACATGGGCAGTACACGGGGAAACGTTGTCAGCCCTACCACTGGTACCATGAAAACCCATCTGTCCCGGGTGGAATCAGTGGGTCGATCTGAAAGTCCCATTGGAAACGGACGGAATGAAGACTTTGCAACCGGGTACAGCTTGGGATTGATTGGAGGTGTAAGAGCCTGGGTAAGGGGATCCCACCCCCTCCCAATTACAATTGAGCTGTTATTGACTGACATATGCACAGATGCGCAGCCGTCGGTCACTCTTGGAAAGCCGCGCCCCTTCCCCGACAAGTGAGGAGGAACATGAGTCCGAGCAGGAACGCAGCAACGGCCATATTGAACCATTGAAAACGTCCGCCAATGCCGTGACAAATTAGAGCAGAAGGTCATGCATGGGTTCAACCTAATCAAGTTGCGATCGTCTTCTCTTTTAAACGGCCGCTTATTATGTCTCACTGAGCACATGCAAGTTAGGTCAGAGAAAGAAAGAAGAAAAACGACGGTCTGACATTTATCTCATGGCAGCTTGGAAAGGAAAAAAAAGGAAACAAAGAAAGAAAGAAAGAAAGAAAGAAAGAAAGAAAAAGAAAACACATCAATATCTATTTTTTCCTTCCACAGAGTTCCATGACCATTATCATACGATCTTATATCAGATGGGTTGATACGAGATAATGTTTCCTTATTGATACTTGTGACTTCTCTTTTGTTTTGTTTTTTTAACCTTCTGGTTGATATTACTACTGTTGTTATTATGATGACATTTGCCCACATAATCATTCCTCCTGTCGGGTCGAAGAAAGAAATCGCATGTCTCCTAATTTGGGTTAAATTGTATGGAAATCTAGGGAAAGGTCAAGGGTTCATTTCATTTATCGTCGTTTTTCACTTGTCCCACTATTGTTGCTTTTCTGCTGATCTGTATTTATGTCGTCTGGGGGTTTTCTTTCATCTCTTCTTGCTTCCGTTTATTGATTGCAGGATACTATCTTTAATAGGTTGCCTTGGCTGTAGATAGATGTAGATAGATATCTGATGGAATCAAGTATGGCGTTTCATGTGGGTTTTATCAAGTATCTCGGATATTGACCTGACGGTCTATTGCACACAGGCTCGGGTGGTGAGTTGGCTGGTATGGTATAATTGGCCACTCTTGGTTCCGAATAACTGACATATTGGCTTGGGCAAATGCAACAAAAATCTAATTTAGGTCATATATCTAACTTACAGCCATAAGGTGTGGACAACCAGGAAGCAAGAAAATAAAAATGAAAACGAATCACAAAGTGCAAGCACAAAGGGTATCTCATTCCTAATTGCAAATTGCTGCTCTGTTCTCTTTTTGCTGTTCTTGGTAGGTGACTATAACGCATCATATTCTACCGCGAGTCAGTCTCCATTAATAAGTTTGATATGTGTATTCTTTACTTCATGATATAAGCAAGTGTTTGATGGGAGATTCAAATGATCAAGCAGCCGTGATCGCAAGGCGCGGCCGCATTTTCCTCTCCGGAACGTCGAGCACCTCCGCCTCCATGCCACACGCCCTCTTCATCTGAAGACTAGGTACGATGGGTATCTGGCCACGCGGTGAGCACATACGCTCACGGAGAGCGTCTCGCAGAGCCATTGCATCCCGACACAGGTCTTGCTCCATCACTCTCTTGGCGTAAGCGTCGCAGCGGGCCGTGATGCCTAACTCGAACGACTTGAGTCCGTGGACACATAACATCGGGAAAACCCAGGGCTCATCGATAGCCAGGCGAAAGCGTTTCCCGCCAACCACACCGCCCATGGCGTTACCACTGAAGCGGCCCAGGTCCAGGCTCAGATGTAGCTGCTCGAGGCCGTGGAGGGCGGCGATCCGGGTCCAGAAAAGCGCCCAGAGGTGGTCGTTGTGGGTGTGGGAATAGATGGAGGATTTGTGCTCCTGTCCGGCCATGGGCTGCCAGATGGGCATCCATTGGACGGTGAGGCGCCTGATGGAGCGGAGCCGCTCCGGACAGACGATGAGAGAGAAGGCGATGAAGGTGTGGAGGTCGTCTACATCGAAGACGGCGTTGGCGTAAAGGATGTCGGCTGCTTCGGCGTAGATGGCGCGACATGTGCGCAGCAATGCCACCGATGAATTGCTCAGGGACGCTGGGAGGGAGGCGTGCGTGTGCGGGTAGAGCACGCTGTCGGAGTGGCCTGCAGTACGGTTATCCTTGACCCGCCAGCGGGCTGGGGTAACCGGGCAGCAGCGGCGGTTGCGGTCGAGCGACGATGATGAGTGTTTGCACCGTACGTGGCGGATCTTGCCCTTCAACTGGACTAAATGGATCGCTTCGTCGCCGAAGGCATAGTTGTAGATGATGAGACGGATTTCGGCAGGTAGCTTGCGGAAGAATAAGCTATCGGATTGGGATGCCATGGGCCGGGCATATGGGTCAACTGGTTTAGATGATGTGGAGGCGGCTTGTAAAGAGATATCCACGGAGGGTGCACAAATCTTGCGTTCTTGAATCAAATCACGGACAGTCTCCTGCCATCTTCGCCCCGTGGGGTAGTAGTGGAAGATGGAGTAAGGATCTCGAAGTAACCAGGCATCGAAGTGACGCATTGTTGGGTTTTATGTTCTCGTTTCAAAACGCCTAGTACCTCGCTTTTTGCTTTTATTTCTCTCTCTCTTTTTTTTTTTTCTGTCCTTTAATTTGACCTCTAGAACAGAAGAGCACCTATCTGGGTTTAATGTACATAGTAGAGAGATGTGGGGAAAAGTATGGGGAAGGTGGACGATCAAAAAAGAGGGAGACAAATACTATGTGGTATGTATAAATGTATATAAAGGAAGCCCTGGGGAGGGGAAAAGAGAATCACAGGTGGAGGTGGGGGCGATCAATGGAAGAGATAGATCGATTGATGCCTATATATATCGATAGGATGGATAGAAGGAGAATGTATAGGTAACTACTAGTACTAGTATGGATGGGGTCCTACTATCAAACGCCACCTGAATCCGGGGTAAATAAAAACTCAGGCACCGCAGGCACCAATCAGTCTGGTCGGTGAGTCTCGGGAAGGGCCGTCGGGACTTTTCGGTGTCAACTGTAACCCTATGACGCTGTGGCTCAGATGGCGAGATTCATGCCATCGGGCATATTTTCATGTTTGACCCATGGTTACTAAAGTACGAGTACTAGTAGTAGTATGCCTCATTGCAGCATACACACCCAGTTCAAATCACAGACGGAGCACTGTCGTCCACCACCAATCATACAAACGACGTGGATCCACTAGTCGAGCGCCGCTTTCTGCATGCGACGCACGGTCTGCAACCTGTCCTGAGCGTCCCAAGTGAGGAGCTCCAGAGGCGACAACGAATTAGAATCATCATCCATTGTCCATGTGCGAGGAGGACTTAAGTCTATACAACACTTTTATATAGTATATAGCCGACAATCAAATCAATAACAGGCTTTGCGCTGTTGCCGCCAGCAGCACCACATCATCCTCATCATCACCCCAAAAGAATTATCGCTGGCTGTCAAATCCCTCAGATCGTCGTAGCCCTTACCTCGCCGGCTCCGGCATGCATTAGTTATCCTTCCTCCCACCTCCCCCACCCGCCCATTCTCCAGGCCCTCATTCCTCTCTCCGCTCATGCAAGTCGTGGCGTCGTACGCGACCAATTTTTTCATAATTTCCATTTCCGTTTCCGAGTAGTACTCAGTTCGTCTCATTCTCATCTTCCCTAGCGGCAGCTGCGGGCGCCTCCCGGACGACGGCCACATAGATGGCGCTTCCTAAGATCAAACCAGATCCCATCCAACTCAAGAGAGACAGAGTACTCCCCCAAACAACGCGGTCATAAAACAACGCAAAGACCATCTGCATATAAATCATAGATGTCGCACGCGATCCGGACGAGCTGTGCGACGCATCCTTCGGCTCGCCATTCCCATTGCTTCCATATTGACGATGCTGTTCCGACGTGGACGACTTCCTCGGTGGAGGCACATACGACAGACCAGCTGTCAAGAGGAACTGCAGCAGGAACCCACAAACACCCAGACCCATGAGTAGGGTCCATTCCAACGGGGTGCCTGGCAGCTCTAGAGCGATGGAAGGTATTAGCAGGATGGCCACGGTCGACACAACAGTCGTAAAAAAGGAAAAATATGTGACGGACACCAGCGGATGACAGCGCTGTCCGATCATTCGGATGGTCGAGTACGCGCAAGACGCCCCCATGACTCCCATGAGCGCCATGATGGTCGCTAGAATACGGTGATATTCATCCTCGTAATCAGGCTGCTCCTCGCTGCCAGGCTCTCTAGAGTCGGGTGGATTTGTTTTCGAAAAGAATGAGAAAGGCCGTGCGATCAGAACCACACCAACTAGCGACACCACGCCAGCAAGCTGTTGCTTGCGTGTGAAGGTCTCATTGGGAATGAACAGAGAGCAGGCATAGCAGGTCAGGATAGGTGCCAGGAAAGTTAACACTGTGGCTTCCGACAGTGGTAGGTATTGAACGGAGTAGTAAAGCCCATAAACGCCAAAAAAGCCACCGGCTGCACGAAGCAGGAGCAGGTGAAGTACAGGGCGGGTCCCAAACGGGTGAGGGACTTTGGTGTACCACATGTACAGATAACTGACTATAACCGTGATGGACATGCGGGCGAACAGGATCTGTTACAGTTTAGTACGGGGAGATATTTAGAGAAAGCTAGATGATCACACCTGAAACGGATGAAACCCTTCCCCATTCCTCCCCTTTCTCTCCAAAATTTGAGTCATGACATTCATGGAAGCCCCGAAGAACTGGGCCAACATGACAAGGATCATTCCCCTACCCTGGAGCCAGAGTTCCTGTGCCGAATCCCACGTCGCTTCCCACCATGATGATGACAGTGGTGACGGTGACATGGGCGAACTTGACCCCAGTAAGGGTCTCCGTTCATCTTCATCTTCATGGGTGGTGTCTCGGCGCTTTCTGCTCCAACCAAACACCGCGGAAAACACGCTGCGAGGGTCGGATCTGACATCCTCAACAGGATGCTGGTTCTCATCCTGACTAGACGCCGACGGAGGCATCATATTAGATCGATGTGGACTGAAATGTAACTCCTTTTGGTATTTTTTTTGTTGTTTTGTTTTCCTCCCGGGACTTAAAGGATTGGAGAAACGGAGGAATCAAAAGGGATAGGTATAAGTAGACAGGTTTAGGCAAAGAAATCGGTGTTGATCATGAGGAAGATTCAGCTCAATGATTAATGGGTCTCCGGTACTTAACTAACTATTGATTTAATTACTTACTGCGCAGTATACTTAAAGGAAATAAAAAAAAATAAAAATACAAGTCAGGTGAAAGATCTCCAAAGCCGAGTTTTTTTTTTTTAAAAAAAGAAAAGAAAGAAAGAAGAAGAAGAAAAGAAAAAGAGAACAGTGAACTTTTCCTCCAATGCGCATGACTTTGGAGCGCTATCGGCGTCAAATGATGTTTGACGGAGGGACTGAAATTGTGGGTGTGGATCGGCGGCTGGGTTCAGTTGACCCACTTTTCTACATGAACTTCTACAATTTATCCAGTTCAGCTGCAGCAGATTCTTGATCCAACCCAGGTATACTCAGGTCTTCATCCCATCCAACAAAATCTCTCAAGTCTTGAAAGAACTAGAAGAGAAAAAAAATAAGAAAGAAAGAAAGAAAGAAAGAAAGAAAGAAAGAAAGAAAGAAAGAAAGAAAGAAAGCAGAAGCACACACACACGCTATAATAACAACAGTACCTGTCAGGTCTTAAAGAATGTTGGTATAATCAGGATATTGCAAAAGAGTTAGCACCCTGGACTAACTCGCACCTATACAAATGTAAATGTGTCACCCCCCTTCTCCCGCAGCATATTGCCAACTCGTTTAGTTCCAACGATCCTCTCCAGTTTCAGTGCATCCCACTTGGAAAATAGTGCGCGGACGCCTCCCTCGGCCGCCTCATCGATTGCCGCCGGATCCATGCCCAAGAATCCCACAATCTCCCCCCAGAATGTTGGGGTTTCTGGCACTCCATACATGATGACACGTTTGACGCCACGGATCTGATACCGCCGAAAATGGTGGAATCTTTCTGTGTATAGCAATACGGAGTGTCGGCCATTCATAAAGTGTGTACGAGCTCGCATGATGTCCCGAGTGTCCGAGTATTCCGAAATCGCACCGAAGGAGACGTTCGTGGTCTGCGCGGAAGTGGCAAAGTAATTGCGTACACGGACGAAATCTAGGTACGACGGGATAAAGATTAAGGTTCCACCGCTATTGTTCCCCCGGCCAGAGGTGATATTGCGGACTAAAGATGAGAGCACGGTCGTGGTGAAGTGCTTAAATCGCGCGTCTGGGTCTTTCGCCGGCGAGAGACTGTCGAATCGGGAGAATGTCTGCTTCACGGATACTGGGAGTGGGATCTCAGAGATTGCCCCAGCATATACTGGCGTCATTTTAATCTTGCCAGAGACGTTCAGCATATGGGTGGAGAAGACCGAGTTGATCTCTGGGGTAATAAAGGAAGCTAGCATGACCATTTGACGGACATATCGTGCGTTGTTGTCGAGATACCATGTCCGCACGCGGCTAAAATCACACCCGTGCGCCTCCCTCGGCTGCAGGTTGAGATGTTTGAAGATGTAGTCGACGTGATCCCAATTCTGCATGAGAAGGGCATCGGCCTGATCTACTATAACGACTTCAATAGAAGATAAAAAGTCATGGTCACGTTTCTTCGCACTTCAGTAAGTTAGCATGCGTTCTAGGCTTTCATGTAGCGCGGACGCCCTCGGAAAACCTACTCAGCCTGGTCCATGATCGTGCGCAAACCAAGTGGGCTGGCAAGGATCATATCTGAAGCGTAGAATTGTGCAAAAAATTTGACAGTCTTTCTCGTGAATTTGAGGCCTAGTCGGAACATGTCATCGTCGTTTCCACCGAATAACTCTCGAAAGTCGTCCGGTTTGCTCTCCCAGGACTTGTCATCCGTTGCAGAGAAAGTGTCCATGAAACGCTTCCTGTTTTCTTGCTGCTCAGGTTGAAAGAGCTGGGTGATTGACTCTACTACACGTACGCAAGCTTGTTTAGTCGGGAGAAGATATAGCACCTTGGGCCTGGTAAAGCCTTGATCCCGCAGATCGAGGTCGGCATCTTGTTCCTTTGCGACACGAGCGTTGTTCTTGAGCACACGGTCCCGAGTCTTCAATACATGATTAACTGCATGGACTGCCAGGATGTTTCGTAACTGGGCCGAGTTGGATGATTGTCTGGCGCCATACAAGACGTCTTGATAATCAAAGATATACGGGGCGAGTTGTTGGGCATGGCCGCTGATCTGGGTAATGTGCTCCTGAGCAGGGGCTTTCAACCTTTTCTTGAGCTGTGGCGTAATAAGCAACTGACGCTGTTTCCCACATGCCACCTCGTCGTAGGCTAGGTATTGCTTACCTTTAAATTCGCGATACTCTTCAGGGCAGGTAGGCAAGACAAATCGCTTCCCGTATCGGGCGCAGCGCGCACCAATCTCACATCCTCGGGGAGCTCTTTCTTTACAATTTTCCATTTATTCTCCCCTACAGCCTTGATTTGCTTAGACAGTTCGTCTTCCTTTCCCCCTGCGAAATGTGCCTCGAAGGGATCATTATCTGCTCAATATCAGTAAGTGGATTATCTTCAACCGGATATACTGAAGAGTTGTACCGTCTTCATTGTCGCTGTCGGCTTGGCCATCGCCATCTACCTCGTCTAAATTATCTTCGTCCTCTTCATCAGAAGATTCCTGCTGCTGCAAGTCGTCATCTTCCAGCAGCTCCTCTTCGCTGGCGGCAACAACTGTGTCATTTCGAGCTGCCTCTTCTTTATCGTCCTTGTGTTCGGTCTTTCTCTTTTTGCGTGCCGGCCCTTTAGAATCAGCGGTTGTATTGAGTAGCTGAAGCAATTCGTTATACGGACGGGCCGACTTGTCAGCTTCTTCGTCCTCGTCGCTATCTGACGATGAATCGTCCATAAGACCATTATCACCATCCATTTCGTCCCTAAGGTTGTCTTCGAACTGACCCTCCTCTCCGCTTGAGGATTCTTCTGACCTGAGTGGACTGGTTAGCTTGACTAAGTGAACCCAGCGGGAGAAGCTCACTCTATCTCATCTACTCGGGATGTTGTGAAGCCATTTTTCCTCTTTACAGGAGCTCTGGCACGGGTTCCACGGCCCTTGGGACCTTTATTCCGAGGGGGAGCCATTTGCGAAAGAAATTATGCCCCTGAAGGGTTAGTTTGCAGCTCTGAAGGCACCAGACTTTTTGTCTTCTTTTTCCGAATTATTTTTTTTTCCCTCTCTTTGGGTCGAGGATGCTTATCTTATCTTAGCGTGAAATTCCCGCTGCGCACACACAATTTGAGCCTCGCAGAACCTCCGTCGGCGCAGAGTCTAGCGGGCGGAAGAATTGATAAAAAAAAGAGAGCTACTCTCCACCACGCCGAGGAAGATACCAAGTGAAAGAGTCGAGAGCTAGAGAGAACGGCAATTCGCGCATCTAACACTTCTTACCCATCATGGCTGAAACTGATTCTTTCCTTCACCTTGCTCGCCCTCTGGGCCCGATGGCAGTGGGGTCTGCACCGACAACCGCCCCTCTGAATGTTGTCATTCATCCTCAGGTATGTTTGCTTTAACGGAATGATAAGTGAAAGATGGAAGCCCTGATGCCCCATGACAGGCTCTCTTCTCGATCCTTGATCATTCCCTCCGTCGCAATGCCGACCAGGAGCGTGTCATCGGAACCCTGCTAGGTACCAGGTCAGAGGATGGAACTGAGGTGGAGATTCGCACTACTTTTGCTGTTGGACACACCGAAACGACGGATCAGGTTGAGGTCGACATGGAATACCAGAAGCAAATGCTTGCGTTGCATCTCAAGGCAAACCCGAAGGAAGTGCTGGTCGGTTGGTACGCTACTTCGTCGGAGTTGAACACCTTCTCCGCTTTGATCCAGAACTTCTACAGCGGCCAAGGTGATGGGACCTTCCCTCACCCTGCTGTCCACTTGACTGTCTCTACCGAAGCTGGCAAGGATGTTGAAACCCGCGCCTACATTTCCGCTCCTGTTGGTGTGACGGCAGAGAGAGCCGCCGACAGCGCTGCCTTTATCCCCGTCCCCTACGAGATTCGCTACGGCGAGACTGAAAAGAGCGGTCTGGAATCTATTGCTGCCGCTCGCGATGCTGAAAGCCGTGCCGCGAACATCTTCACCGATATTGAGGCTCTTGAGCGTGCGGTCGAGGAAGTTCTCGGTATGATCGACCGCGTTTCCAAGTATGTCGAATCTGTCATCGATGAGGAGGCTCCTGCATCGACAGCGTTGGGCCAGTTCCTTCTCAACGCTCTCGCTTTGGCGCCCAAGGTTGAGCCTGCCGATATCGAGCGGGATTTGTATGTTCACCCCCACCCCTTACGACTCTCATTCGTTATCATACCGGTTTGCATCATACGTCCTAATGCTAACCATTTCTACAGCAACAACCACATCCAAGACGTTCTGGTTGTGTCTTACCTGGCCAACACCATCCGTACACAGATGGAACTGTCCAACCGCTTAGCTACCGCTCAGCTCACCCTTGGCGGCGAGTCCGGCAATGCAGAGTCCGGCCAGCGCGGAGGTCAGAGGGGCGGCAAGGGAGGCCGCGGAGGGCAGCAGAGGACTCAAGACCGGAGTGGAGAGGAGGCTCGCGCGTAAAGAGGGAACGTAAAACCAAGGCTATCCATGAAGACACCTTTTCTTTTCTCTCTACATCTCTTGTCCCATCCATTTTTTACTTTCTCGCATCTATTATCCCGCTACTCTGTTTATCCCTTTTTTCCTTGATATGTGTCTAGGGTTCTATCTCGTCCAGGGTTATCTTTTCTTGTGGAAAAAGCTTGTTCTCAGTTCTGCTCCCATCCTTTTCTCTCTGTTATGCCATTTATGACATTGCATTCGCGATTGCTGGGGCAGTGCGAAAACGAATGGACGAACGAAAGCAAAAGAAAAAAATGAACCAGAAAGAGCATGGCGTATGGGAGTCAATCTGGCTTTGTTCAGAGCGATGAAAAAAAAATGGAGCTGTGCAAAATGGGAAGAGCAAGGGTTTGAGACCCTTTTATGCCAGGAGCAGATCGGCCTTAATTTGCTCCGATGATATAGTGTAGACTTGATGATTACGAAGCCGGCTTTTCTTACCAGCATGTCAATCATGATGAATGGACATATGTACTGAACCAACAAGTATCTGAGCTTTGTTTGTAGACACCAGTTGAAACGATTAACGTCACCATTTTGAAGCGCCTGGCTTGCTGAAAGGATTGCTTGATATCTAATATCTTGAGCTCTCAACTTGAAAGCTAGAAAAAATTTCCCCAATAAACGCCCTTCTAATAACAGCAAATGGTATCTCCCATGTTTGATGAATATTGGTGTCCTAACCCAAAACGCCCGAGACAGATGTTTAAAGAGCAAAATGACATCAAAAGTAGCGAAGCAGTGCCAACGACAACTGGCTCAACCAGTCTTTCTCTTCTTCGAAACCGTCGTGTCCTCCGTAGCATCCGAGTCCCTTCGAGCATTTCTCTTTCCCTTTCCCTTGCTCTTCTTGCCATCGGTACTTTCGCCCAAATCTTCGAGTTCCTTTTTGCTAGCATCCTTCAAGTTTCCAACCTGGTCATCATTCTGATCGAATGCCTTGCGAGCTTCTTTCAACTCGCGCTCCATGCGCAATAGCTCCTGGACACGACCAAGCTTGTTGGGATCACGGCGCAATGCAAACCGGAAGTCGTCCACTTTGATCTTCTGACGGCGCGAATAGGCGGCATATTGAGCTGCGCCGTGGCACATCTCAAGGACAAAATCGGTAACAATTTCATCGAGCACACGAACTGTTTCGGGAAGAGGCTCCGAAGGGAAAGACGGGTGCGGGCTTGGATCGCCATATGCGAGAAGGAGGAGACGCACTATCGAATGGAAACATGTGATGTGAGTAACAGAAGTTGCAATAGAGTCATGTGTTTGTTTGTTTGGGGGGGAACAGGGGAAATTAAAAAAAAAAGTAAGAGAGAAAGAAAGAGACAACACTTACATTCAGCAGCAAAATTCATCTGACCCTTGTGCCTAGCAGCACGGGCTCTGGGTTCGGCCATAATGGTAATAGAGCGCTTCTTGCTCTTCTTACTAGAGTCGGCTTCTGTAGAATCCGCGTTCTTGGCGGTGTCAGATTTGAATGCTGGGCGATAACCGGCGCGGATTAGAGCAGTTTCTTGAGGGTTGAACGGCCAGGGAGGGGCAAGCTGGCTCGACACATGGCCAGAACTTGGCTGTCGAGGTGGGAGCTGGAGAGGTTCGCTGAACTGGACGTAGAGGAGGCGGCAGAAGCCTTTGAGCTCCACCCGTAGATGGTTTAACATTGGGACGGTGGCCAGGGCGGTGAAGAACGTCGGCGGACATGGGAGGCAGAATTTCTGATTCACTGGACGGAACGTGTAGACAGATAGTATGATAGTGTCTGGGTCTCTATCAGCTAATATTGTTTCTTAATCTTGCACGGAAACTGAAGCCTGTTAAGTCATTGGTATTAAGTTCAAGGAGGGGAACAGACTAATCCTTGGCAGTTCAAACAAGATGGTGAGTGAATGCTCTGTGAATGAAGCCTGCCTATCTAGACTGGTTCGACTTCAATAGGATGACCATCAACTAAAAATAACCCTTTCTGTAGTCTGCCTTGTTCAACTTTCAATCGCTCCTGCTGGTTATCTTGCTTGTCATCTGCACAAGCACCTATGCCCACTCGATTATGCCAGGAATCATGGATCGTAATCAACATGGGTAGGTTCTACCTCCGGTCTTCCCCAGGGTGTCAACTAAGAGACGGGACTAACACCCTCACCTGAAGTTTCTTCGGGGTATTCTGGAAGTGTGCTCGAATCGGTGAACGGCTCAGCCCGTATGTCAGTATCTGCTGCATCTTGATGGCTGTGAGTGCTGGACGACATCATATGGACCTACTGAAGTTGAGATAATAGTGAGGCTAACATACATGCGCTAGGTTTCGATCTTCTTTGGGGGCTGAATGCCCCCTGGTTGCCCCTGTCTCTCTTTAAACAGTTCTTCTACTTTTGTTTTTTAATGAATGAAGATCTTACCAGCAATCGGCGTTAAAAGAACCTCTTCTTGGTGGTTTGGGCATTAAAATTATATTGCAGGGAGTCCGCATCGTTATTTACATGTGTATTGTACATAAGTGATATTTTACATCAAGAATATCTCCACATATATCGATCTCTCGTTCTAAAAATGACATTCTTCTCCCGAACCCACGCTCTAAATGCAAGATAGAAAGACAGTAGAAAATAACTAGTAGTTAGATAAGGGTATCTCAACGGGTAGACTGCTTTCTTTCGCGCAGACGTCGCAAGCCTTGCTCTAACAGATGCTCATCTTCATCCAATTCGTGTTCCACCAAAGGCCTCTGATCTAAAGAGGTCACTATATCGTGGTGAGCGTCGGTCGCCTTGTCCAGTTCTTCTACCGCAATCCATAGGCGCTCTGGATCTTGGAGGTAGCGGAGACATTTCATGGTGTATGAATCCATAGTGTAGCCTTGAGATTCCATGGCCTTAATGGACTTTGCAACCTCAGCAATATTTTGCGCGTTAGCATAGGTGTTGATGACCATGTTCCAGGTAACCTTGTTGTATTCCACTCCATGTTTCGCCATCATCTCTCGAACCTTCTCCGCGGCGAGTGGTTGTTTATTGAACGTGAAGGCGCTCATCAGGATCGTCCAGGTCCGAACCGATGGCTTACCATGAACAGGAGCCCCATCTTCCGGTTCCTGGTTTTCATTAGAAGAGTGCAACATATCCTCCACTAATCGCACGGCTGGTCGCAGCCCTCGAGGGTCATCCCGAAACGCTACCAAAAACTCGTTGTAAGTATGGTCGGTGGAAGCTAGCGGAGCTATGACTGGGTGGTTCCCTGAGACGAGGGCTTTGAACTTGGTGTAGATGCGATGAGCGTGGGATATGCGTTTCTGGCACCGTAGATAAGTCGCGATCATCAGATATAGAGCAATGAGAGATGGTTGGAGATTATCACCTCCCGGGGGAGGAGTGTATTCGGGCGGAATGACAGATAGCTCCTTTAACGGCGAGATGTCATATAGCTGATTGTACATATCCAGTAGTGAGTAAAAAACTCCATTGGGATCGTCATTTGGATCATGATGCCTCGCATTGAAAGTAAAATGAGCGTGAAATATCTTGCTTGCAATCCAATCGTTCTTCTCAAGCCCACGTGCTCTAATGTCTTGTATCAGTGATTGAACACGCTCTCGATCCCCACGAGTCACCGCATCATTAAGCAAGGTTAAATAAGTAAACGAATCAGGCTCGAGGGACTGCCTTCTCATGAAACGGAACATGTCGAATCCCACCTGCGGATCACCGGTCTTGAAAGCGTTGGATAGAACTATGTTCATCATATCCCGATCTGGGCGTACCCCCATTTTGAGGAGTTTGGGTAGAATATAGAAATTGCGCCCATTCGGAGTATCCTGGACAGAGTCGAGTAATAAAAGTTTGCAACAGTGACGCATAACCCCTTGAGAATCCATCAAAAAGTTATCCTGCTCCCTTCTCCGCACAAGTTCAAGCGCCTCTAGTGATTTATGGATATCTCCAATTTCCGTAAACTGACGCATAAAGCAAAGCCACGTCTGGGATGTTATATGATTCCTCCTTCCATCCACGATGGTCCAGGCATGGTAAAGCTCTTCGGGGCCAGCGTTCTTTAGGTAGAGCCGGACGCCCTTTTGCCCAAGGTGCGCAACAGGCCAATTGCTCGGGTCTAGACAAGTAAGCAAAAGGGACACATATGTGTGGCCCCCCCTTTCCCAGTGTTGAAATTCACTGGCATGGTATTTATCTAGAAAGAGGAAGCAATCTGAAACCATGGCAAACAAGGGCTTGTCCGCACTTTGGCAGGTTACAAGGAAAAATTCCAAGGCCAGATGCGGGGAATTTTGTAACAGCCATAATGATAATCGCTTCCAGTGTGAAGCCTTTGCAGATTTGTCCAATGCCTCCCAAGCCTCACGAAAGTTACCCAGGCAGTCTGTCTTAATCTTCTCAAGAAGGCTTGAATCGGCATCGTTGAGCATCAACAGCGCGGGAAAATCTTGTACGTCCATGTCCAAAATCGCAGCTCCCCAAATTTTATTACAAGTGGTTCTCCATGTATGGATTTCTTCGCGATCGTAGCATAAAGATCTCATCTTTATATTCTGATGAAAATCGTAGGTCTCCTGGCTCACCTGTCTAGCCTTGTAGGTATATTTCACCTTGCCGTCGACCATCGTACGGGTAGCGTAGACGAATTTGCGCTCTTGATTGTTGAGATCCCTTTCTCCAGATGACGATGTGGGCGGGCCAGGAATACCATCCAGATATGGTATTGATGAGCCCTCTGTAGCTTCGTTTTCGTATTCGTGAGCTGAATGAGAAACTACATCTCGAAGGTCATGAGCTTGAGCCTCAGTCCGGGTGTCTCTTGGTTCGCGAATTAAAGCTGGATTAGAGTCAGGCCGAGGGCTCAGATCATTGCCAACAGTGTCATATGCACAGTTTGTAATATTCGATGTCGACGCATAATTCGTGACATATCGTGCTGTTGGAAATTTCGCACTTTGTCGATAACAGTGCCCTAGACGCAACCTATGTTTCGGAGCACGGGACGGTAGCCCGGCGCTGAAGCGGGAACGCAGGAGATGATGTGGACAAAATGACATTCAGGATTTCGTGATCTCGTGATCTCGCGCATTGAACATAAATGCCAGTAGGATAGCACGAAAAGCGATTCACGGAGGGAAAGTAGATGTCGGTACTTGGAAGCTTTGAGAAGAAATTAATGCCGATTTATCGCGGCCGCCGGATTATGTTCCGTCGCTAGTGTGGCTAATGCTCCCGGAGTGTGGCGCAACACTTCCGATAACATTGTCAAGAAATTGTCGCATATTTTTGACCCTGAAACGGGGGAGCTCATTCTTTCCCCTGCAACACTTGCTTTACCTTGCATCCTCTATCTGTTAATATATATTGAGTTTCCCACTATGTCATCCAACCATGCCACTCTCGACGCAGCGGCAACAGAACGCAAAGCTCGACTCGCAAAGCTCGCGGCGCTCAAAAGAAAGCAACCAGAGCCAGAGCCTTTAACAGAATCCAACGTTAAAGATGACGAATCGGAAGATGCTGCCCCCGATGTCACAGCCAGATTTCTGTCCGGAAGAAACTATGATGCAGAAACCCGTGGCCCGAAGTTGGGATTCGACCAGGCCCCCGCAGACGGACAGATTACGGTGGAAACACAAGCTGCGGAGATAGCTAAGGCAACTGCAGAGCAAGCTAAGAAGGATGGCGAGGTGGACCAACCGATAGATCTCTTCAAGCTTCAACCGAAGAAGCCCAACTGGGATCTAAAACGGGATCTGGACGAGAAATTAAACACCCTCAATGTGAGGACGCAAAACGCAATTGCAAGGCTCGTGCGACAGAGGATAGAGGATGCGCAACGTGCGGCGAAGGCTAGAGACGCGGGGGCCAATGGAGGCCAGGCAGGAGAGGATGTAGGCATCGAGGGCGAAATGTTGGTTGAGGGCATACATGTACGCGAGAGGGAGGAGGAAGATGAACGGAGGGAAAGGGAGGAAGACGACCTGACATGATCTTGATACCCTAGAAGAGGTGTGGTTATAGGTATTTTTGCGATCCTTTGTTCCTTCTACATCTGGTTTTAAGGCGCTCGCTGTTGGGGTCTGGCAAAACATATCGAAAAGGCGTTGAGGGCATTTTGCGTTCTATCATGTGGACACCGATTTCAATTTATATATGATTCATATTACTATAATACAGTATCGTAGTGGTGGTCTTTTTCCTTTTTTTCCGCTTTTGTCGTTGCTAAACGTCACATGCCTGGGCGGCCGATATTCATGGCCTGGGTTAATGCGAGACGTTTACTGTAGGGGCTGAGACTTCGCCCCCTTCGAGGCTGAGATACAGTGTGACCTTGACTATGCCCACTCCGCTCATCATGCGCTCGACTGTGACGACCATCTGAATGACCTGAGTGCCTGCAAGTGTCTCTCGAAAGTCTTCCAGGGCGGTTGGGGTCATGCATCGTTTCAGGTGTCACGGACCGTCTTTCCCTTACAATTCGGCCCTGATTAATGCTCTGGCTTCGGGTCCTGCCTCTCCGGCTACCATATCTTGACAAGTTTCTAGCTCGCCCGCGCTCTTCAGGGCTAGACTCCCGACGCCTTCGTCTAGTGTTCCTGTCACCTGTCCATTCCCGTGATCTGGAACGAGTGCGGTCTTTCTCTCCGTATGAATATGAATGAGCAGAATGGCTAGAAGATGAGTCGCTATACCGTCTCTTTCTCAGCTTCTCATGGTGAGAAGATGTTGACTTCGTCCGGTGAGGCTCATTTCTCGCACCGTATCCTCTACGGCGAGGTGGTGACTGCGAATGGGATCGACTTGTAGATATCGTAGACACAGAGCTCACAGAATGCGACGACGCTGACCGAGCCCGCTTTGATGTCTGGCCTTGACTATCCAGGGGATCTGATTCATCTATATCTCGTTTACGGCCTCGCTCTTCTTCTCGCTTTGCCAGAAGATTATCGCTACGCCTTGCCTAGGGATAGGTCAGTGCACTGCGCAAAAATTGCAGATCAAAGATATTCTGGATTCTTACGAGCGCAATATATCATTCGGAGTTTCCGTTGAAAGCTGCGGCCGCAATTTCGGGTTCTGTAATTGCTGTGTGCGCGAAGGACGATATTGGTACGGCCGTTCCTGGGCGGTAACTGTGCATTCGTAGCTATAGTGCCGTGCAAGAGGTCAGTCAAATGCGAACTGACGACTGGAGAAAGGTACATATCTCGTTTTAAGCATTTCTGACAGAGGGTACTGGCAGTCGCCTTAGTAGGGCCTCTAAGGCTGGGGGCATTCCGGTATCGATTCATGAATCCTGACCGTATACAGAGGGTAAAACAGGCTGCACAAAGGTCTATGACAGCTTACAATCAAGTCGTATATCGATATAATCCCGAATCGTACGAATATCAAACCTCTCTCTGTCGCGGCTGTTGATGCAAGGTGTGGGTCGAAGGCACCGTTTAAACGCGCGGCTAACCGCCCACCAGCAGACAAGCGAAACCCGATCAGTTCTGTTTCGTTCCTTCTCAGCCCAAAAGAACAAAAAAAAGACCACCATCATCGACCTCCCAAATTTCCTCCAACTACAGCGCCGTTTCGGCCTAAGCAGAGTCGTCCGCGCAGTACGACTCCTTCCAGTTTGACTAGGAATAGGATATCGCCTTTCTCTCTCTCTCTTTTTTTTTTATCTCTTTTGTCTGAGTAGGAGGAACCCCATTCCCCTCTTTAAAACAATCAATGGGTAAAACCATGAACAAATCGCTCTGACCATCGTGTAAGATCAGCCACCTTTCTTGGATCTTCTGCTCTCTTGACGCTATACCTGCTGTCGCCTTTTGCACATCTCTTAGCATTACTGGACGGGCGCGGTCCCTTTTAATATCAACCCACTGGACCTAACTTGCAATAGCTTTCCCTATGGCGAATTACGTTTTCAAAAGATATGCCGTCTTTCTTTTTGGGCTTGTGTGAAGTGGGATCTTTGAGTGGCTTATTGTCATCTTAAATTTTCGGTTTCGTCATTGAGTGAACCCGCACGTGTGAAGTCTAGCCATTCAGTTCTTCTCATCGGGTTTCTTACCATTCTTCCATTCATCTTTCCCTGCTCGATAATTACCAACCGAAGGAAGGCCAGAGAGAAGAAGATTACGAAATAGTGCAAGGTGTTGCTAGTCATGGCATCCGAAAGTTCCCCAGAAGGAGAGCATTGCCTCTCCTTCGCAAAGGTACGTTGATTGATGTTCCACACGAACCGCTGTCGCAAAGTAGATGATGGTGTCGCCCTTCTGACTTGCACACAAGATCGCTGCTATGGCCTCACAGTCGAGATCGGAAGTTAACGTGGCATTTGATGAGAAGAATGGTTCACAGTCTGTCAGAGAGCCCCCGTGCTCAGAATCTTTGGAGTCGAAACACGTCCTACCGAGCCAAGTGATCTCGAACAAGGATGATGAAGTCAACGCCGCCGATCGAAGTTTCGATAACCTCTCGCACACATTACAAGATGTTCATATCACAGAGAAGAAGGGCCAAGAGAGTCCCGACTCCCCCGCCGAAGTTCAACAAAACGGGTCTCTGAAACGGGAGACATCTTTCGAAGATGACCGTACACATCTGTCAAACTCCTCAACCAAACCGACAAGTTTCGACTCAAAGAGTATGGCCTCGGTCACTACCTTCGCAATGGACGAGAAAGACTCATTACGGCCTGATGATAGTGCCAGTGTTCAAGCTGTTGACGAAGAGGAATCCCTTTCCGGAATAGCATCTGGTGCACCGAACTCGCTGACTGGATCTGAAGCTGGTACTCGCGGGTTCAGGGATATACAGAGAGCTCGCGCAGTACTGCAAACCGCCGGCCCTCTATTCACGGACGGTAACCAGCGGCCAAATGGCGCTATGATCTCAGATTCTGTTTCCAGCAATTTTGTTATCGCCAACCAGGAAGCTTTTGGGAGTGGGCAGTCCATATCCATGCATCCATTTCCAATGGAACCAGATGAGAAACTTCTCGAGGCAATGAAGTCCCCGAAAGATCGTCTTTTGATTCTGCAACTAGAGGAAAAAGTCAGACATTTTATTCAACATTCTAAGTGAGTTGACGTCCCATGGCTCGATCATGTCTCATATTTAGCTAACATGTCATTGCAGGGAGCAATCCCTAGAACTGCCACCTTCCAATGCGTTTGGGCGCTTGCTTGCCCATAAATTAGGCGATTACTACCATTTAACTCATTTCGTGGACAACAATGTCACGTCGGTTCGACTTCATCGAACTCCTTTCACTCGGCTGTATGGACCCCACCCATTTGCATGTACGAATAATGTCCTCACACTAACCGGCTTAGACCCACGCCTCTCTCTGCTATACACGCCGCAACAAACAACACCCCACCCCCTGCTATGCCTGCCATGAAAATCATGCGTCGTACCGACAGCGAGCGGCCTTCTACCGAAGGAAGTGCAGCGGCGAGCTCTGCATTTGCTTCAAAAACTGGATCAGAAGCTGGTGATAGTGCAAATGACGGAGAGCGTGGCAGCTCTTCAGCAGGAGCTACCCCGGCCAAGGACCGGTTGACGCTCACCAGGGAAGAACGGGAGGCCAAATATCAAGAAGCTCGGGAACGAATTTTTCGCGATTTCCCAGAAGCAAAGCCTTCAGATGGCGCAAATGGCGAGCAAGGTACCAACATGTCGCGCTCGAGTTCGACCAACGGGCGTAAAAAAGCACAAAGGCAAAAAACACCACATGATGACAGCTTTGAAGTCAGGTCCCAGTTCAATGTCTACTACCCTGGGGTTCACTATCCTCATGGTCCAGGTCCCTACAATGTGGCCGCCAATGACTCTTCGTTCGCTGGTCAACCATGTATGGTGGGACCTGGAGTGACCCCGCCGGGCATGGGTTATGCTCATAATGGCCAAAATGGGACCATGTATCCTAACCATATGAATATGGGCTCCATGCCTCATTATTCAATGCCCGTGTCTCCTCAGATGACTCCAAGTGGACCGTGGCAGAACGGAGCTGTACCTCAGCAGTCCCCGTTTTCTGGGTATGCCTCTATCAATCAGTCACCGGCTATGACATCCACGAAATCATCGCCTGCATTGAACAGCTATCCTGTGCCAAACGCTGTACAATTTCAGCACACGCCTCAAGGATGGTCCTCCCCACCGTATCATGGAGGTTACCAGCAGTCCTCGCATAGGAACCAACCTCCAATGCCATGGGCAAATTACTCATCTCAACCTGTCACTCCTACATCCTACCCTTATGGTCAATATCCTGGACAACCCATAAATACAGGCAATGCAGGTGTCCATCCATTGCCGGGAAGTTTCAGTCGGTCCCCATTCAACCCTCAGACACGTTCATTTGTTCCTGGCGGCACGTCCTTGGCACGGCACCCAAGCAAGAATGGTCAGCATGGTATGAATCCATACCCTACTATGCAACCTGGTGTTCAGCCTCAGTGGGCTGGGTACCAAGAAGCTAGTAAGAACTTAGAGGCAACAGCGCCCATGGCGCTCAATACTCCTCGCGGGCCACCCCCGGGTAGTAGAGACTCTATTGCGAAATGGGGGACACCGTCCCACCTTCCTCCTAAGCCACCGCCGTCTGAAGTTCCATCTGAGTTCGATCTGAAACATCGGACCGGGCCCACGACTACCCACCCTTACTCTGGAAACCCCCATCCGAATAATAAGAATGGCCCGCTCGTCGTGTCAGGAGGAGCAAGAGGCAACTAGCTGGTTTGTTTGTGGCATTTGATCATGTATGATCCTTCTAGCCTACGCGTTTTGGGGCATTGACATGTCATCTTAGAGACAGGGATATTGCTGTTTCATGACTATCTCTGGCAGATAGACGTGTGAGAGCAAAGTTATGCACTCAATATCGTGCTGGTGCGATTTATATGATTACTGACAGCTTGTTGCTGTCACATTTGCTAGATCCAGGCGGAGAAGAAGGGTTGAGATAGCCAATAAGATACATAAATCTTTATGAATCAATCTTCAAATCGAGAGATTTTCCAGCGTGAAAATGTACGTTTCATGTACAAGTAGATTTTTTTAACAATGAACACGAATAATCGTCTTTAGTTTGGGGAATTGAGGGTCCAAAGCTATCCTTCGGAGCACTGTTATCCCTTAAATTCACATACAAAAGTCGAAGTGATGCGTGCCGGTTTTCGTTCGTATCTCCGCAAGCCACTGACACATGCAGAGGACTAGTAACGAAGAGTATTTTAACATGAAGACAGCTAGACCACGCTGCAATTCTTTAAATAAAATATATACAAGAACGGTAAGGATTGAAGGGTACCAGAAGGATTTAAGTACTCCATTCAGGCGACTGCCGGGTTCTAGATAGGATCCGGCGGCGATCTATATTTAACGGGCGGTTGGGCATCCAAAATATCTAACCTGACAGCCAAGGTCTATGTGTGCGGGAAGATTGATCCCATCATATACGCCATAACAATAGAGAAGCCAAGCGGCAGAGGCTTCAGGAAGTCAAGTGCGGACATTCCCCCTTGGCTCTCTGGAAAGCGCCTGCAAACAAATCTTGCATGGCGCAATAGTGGAACAGGATGCCGCCTAGAACGGCGAAATGCCAAATATTGTGGCTCCCGCCCACATAGTCGAAAAGACCGGGGCGCCACCGTTCGGGTACCTGAGAAGCGTAAATGCAAGCCCCGACGAAATACACGAGAATGCTTTTCACGACGGGTGCGTAAAAGTATAGACACCAGGCAAAGCCTCGGGTATAGGTCAGTTGTGCCAACGGCGCGAAACCCGTTAGGGCAAGCGTAACGTAAAATGCCACACGAGCCCAGGCAAAATCAGCGCGGTTGAAGGTCGGGTGCCAGGGGAGAATGACACCACCGATCCCGAGGGACATCGTGAGAAGAATGTATGTCCATCGCGATACGGGTTCACAGTAAAACGCAGTGTATTCCGTGGTCACGATCGAAGCAGCAACTAGCATTGAGATGCCAGTATAGTCCACGCAGGCGAAGCGCTCCATCAGCCCCTGGTTGGCAATGCTATTCATGGTGTGCCAAAGAGTACTGCAGACTAGGCACTTGCATGCAGCAAAGAAGAACACCGCCGCAATCAATACGTCCGTCTTGGTACTCAAGTGGAAGTTGGGATTCAAAGGATAGAAATAAAAGGCGACCGAGAGGACGATGAACAGACCGATCAGGTGAGACCAGATGTTGACTAATTCATTGGAAAAGGTAAACATGGACGTGAAGCATTCTACCTTAGAATGCGTGAACCGATATCCTTCCAGAATGTGCGGGTTCACACGCCATGGATGCGGAAGGTCTGCATAGGCAATCAGACGCTTTTCCTGAGCTAGCGCAATGGCCTGGTCGATATTTTCACGCAGGGCATCCTTAGCTTTCCGGGCACGTTCCATTCCCTCATCGACCACTTCTCGGGCGTGGACCAGCTTCGAATCCATTGCCTTCCACCCGTCATCTAGGGTGCCGTAGAAACCACGGTCCCGAACCGCATGCGCCCGAGCTTCCAACTCCGACAAAAACGACTCCATCAAGCGAACCCCCGCTTGTGCCTTTTGTTCCAGGGTTTCCTTGGTTGCGAGAGCATCTTTGTAGCCGTCTTCGAGCGTTTCCACTAGGATCTTGGCTCTCTTCTTGCCTCCGCCCATAAGTTCTCCAGAGGCGTAGGAGCAGGAATCTCTAACAGCCTCAAGCGTTGCATAACCTCGGCGTAAGCTGGCATCGATCTGTACCATGTGTGAGCGGCGATAGTCCTCCAGCCAATGTAGCCGTCTCTCCAATTCGGCCAGAAAAAGTTCCACCTAGAGAATTGTTAGGAGGTGAAACCGAAGAGGAAAGAGCAGTAAAGGCCATTACCCTCAAAAAGACCGCGTCGGCATCGTAGTCGCACGACAGTTTTCTTGCGGCATGGAACGAATGCCTCCGCCGGCGATCTCGGAGCAAGGCTGTCTCCTCGGACGGGGTGGCATAAGCGCTGGAGACCGCCGTTTCATCGGGATAAGACTCAAGGGTCACAGATTGAGCCGAGCAAGCCATCATGTGCGTCTTGAACCACTTCCTCAAGTTCCTCAGGGGGTTCAGATCAAATCAGCATGATCTGGAAGGTAGACAAAAACGTTAGATCGTCCGAAGTGGATTTATGTTTGGGTCTCGGGTATCGGAATCTCGGCATTCATTCCAGGACGGACTTTACTTACAAGAGGTAAGGGGAGTGGAGATGACCTGGTGGGACGAAACCAGATTCGATGGAGCTGGGGTTCGGGGTCGGTTTATTGTTCGTATGATTGGCAAGGTGAAAAGACCGACGTGAGGTGGGTGAAGGAATGAAGAGAGAGGGAGGCGGCGGTTGGAGAGGGAAAAGGAAAGGAGTGACTTGGTTGAATGAATGAACAAGTTGAAAGAAGAAAGAAGTGGGGAAGAGAGAAAAAAAGAGTTGAGAGGAAATCCCATTTAAATTGATTGAATCCAATCAATAATTCAATTTCACCACCAATAAATGATCGCCGCTTGGGACGAGAGCGTCATTCGAATCCGACTTGTGATTTTGATTTGATTTCGGTTTCCTTTTTATTTTCGATCCCCAGCAAGTAAAGGAACCCTGACCTGTAAATATGTAAATAAAGGAATAAATCGTTCGGCCCCTCAGCAATCGCATTGTCCCCACGTTTCCATTCTTATCGCCGCCTTCTTTCCCATTTCCCTCATGAAATTCATTCATTCTTTTCTTTCTTTCCTCCTCCCAATCGCCACCACCACAACCACCACCGCCAAATCACCGTGTCCTCTGAGACCACACTTGCCCCCCCTTGGCCCAGACCAGACTTCTTTCCATTCAAACATTAAAAGTTTAACACCATGGCGGCTATGGCGGTTCGCGACATTGTGGTGGATCAGTCTCTCCTCCCCGTGCTCAATAGCAGCGCCGTGACCCGTGAACAATGTGACAAGCTCCTCGCATTACTTGACCCGACCGGTGATACCACATCGTCGAATTCTCAGGAAACCATCCTTGCAGCGTCGAGAGAACAGAAACAACTATTCGCGCTTCTTGCTCGACTCCGCGGTCTGAATCGCGACGCCATTCTCCATGTCCGTGAAACCAAACAATCGACGGCGGAAGCTCGCCAGGAGATCGACCGGTTACACCTCCAACTGCAGAACCTCTATTACGAACAAAGACATTTGACGGGGGAGATTGCGGCGTGCGAGTCTTATGAGTAGGTGGATCCCTCCGGCGAATTCCCTTCACACCGATCTTACTAACCGGGTCGTTCCTCCGATTAGTCACAAATATCTGTCTCTTCCTTTAATCCCCGTTGAAGAGTTCCTCACTCTTTTCCCAGAACACAGAGACTCGGACGCCCATGAGCTCATGATTGCTCGCATCAATCATGAACATGCAGAGCGGGAGAAACTAGAACAGGCGCGCCAGGAGCTTCTGAAGCGGAAACAGGCTCTGATTGCGGAGAATAACAAACGCAAGGAAGACCTGGCCAGTTTGGATCAAGATCTGGAAAGGTTCATTGACGTATGTCTTGACTTCTCACCCACTCGGCTTTTTCTTCCCCCCAATCATCGGTACGGGTTTCAATTGCTAATCTGATCATCTCAATAGGCTGCTAAACCAATCCAGAAGATTTTCGAGAAAGAGTACTAAAACACAAAATGTTATGTTGATCGTCTTGCATTGAAGTTAGCTGGTGACATCAGGCGCCTTGGTTGAGATACCCCTATAGTTCTGTTTTACAGGGAGGTTTTAGTACGAGACGGATTTAATGTTTAAAGGGATGTTCCGTACGGTTCTGATAGTATCTCTTGTCTTTCAACTACTCTATTTAGAATGAATGCATTGCGATACATTAGGGTCTGTGGGTTTGTAAACAATATAACGCTGGACTACTTACAGAAACATTACAGGCAAGTACCATAGTTTGGGAAATAGGAGCAAGAAGACAAAATGAAAAGGGAAATCTCAAGAAACAGTGAGACACGGAGGAAGAATTGTAGCTCTTTGGGTGGTGGGGGGATTTCGCCGTTGTTGGACGTTCATAGCCCGGCTTTTTGGTTGATCATCAAGCCCGCGCATTTGTTGATTTAATCTTCCCCGACAACTTGTCCTCCGCCGTCACATCTCACTCATCACCAGCACATTTCGTGTTTCGGCGACCCACTTTCTACCCCCAAAGAGAAGAGCTGCTTGTAAAAAAAAAAAAAAAAAAAAAAAGCATGTCCTGGTCATGACCAGCAAGAATGAGACCCGGGGTCTTCACAGACTACCTCCACACCCACGAACGACACGATGAGCTCCAAGACCGGCGCACGACGTCCCCCCCAGCCCGAGAAATCTGAGGCTATCCAGACCCGGTTTAAAGTCATTGCCGCATTTTGGGCCGTCATTATATTCCTGGGATTCCCGATATGGTGGAAGACGACATCTATCTACCGGGCCCGACTGCCCATCCAGAACATGGTCGAGTGGGCGGATGGAAAGGTACTTTACCGCACATTCACCTCGCTGATGCAATGTACCAATCCTGACTGATTATCACCCTACAGACCTGTCGTCCAGTTTTCCCCCTTGAGATTCACTTTGAAACACCGTCCCTGCCAGAGCCAGAGGCACACCATCTCTTGCGGACTACTCAGCACACTCTCGATGATCTGAACGAATTCTCCGCCCATCACCTTCGCCTGAAGCTTTCCGAAGAGAACACCGTCGCTAGCCATGAAGACATACTAGAGCAACCGCAGACTGTCCTGTATGGAAGAGCCGATACGGCGTTAACGGTTCGACTGCTACCACAGGAGGATTTGGCGGCACCTCGGTCAGAGCTCCATCCGGACACGACCCGGCTCGACGTATATTACCCCCCAAGCCAGATCCCGCCGCCTTCCGCGTCAAACCCGCCCCTATCTGCTTATATCGCTGGAGAGCTACAGAATCTATTCACAGAAGAAAAGGCCATCATTGCGCAGGTATTATCCGATAACAATGTCGGGGGCGCCAACACACTCACTGCTTCTTCGTCGAATAATCAGCAGCAGCCTTCCGCTATTCTCAATTCTATCTCCCCACAACTCGCGAAGAGCATCACCAGGCGTCTGCGAAGGTCTATGAAATATGCGGAAACGTATCACCTGGCCTTTTCTCTGTTTACCCCTGGATCCGAACCTTCCTCGTGGGACGTCAAGACCGCGGTGGAAGAGTACATCTCACCGCTCCTGCAGGCTTTCGCGCCCATAAGCAATTTTACCATTGATACCCAAGTCCAGCTCTACGCGACTTCTGCTCCGACTGCACCACTGCCTGAGTACGACGAAACACAAGCTGCTTGGACGCTGAAGAAGGACGATCTCAGCGCTTTCATCAACGCGGCTGAATGGCCCTTAAGCCCAAGTATCGGGAGTGGACCGACCATCAACTTCATTCTTTACGTTCCTGCGCCGTCGCAGTCTCCCATAGTCGTGAAGGAGAGCAGTGCAACTAGCTGGATTATTCCTCAGTGGGGTGGTGTCTTCCTCTTAAACCCTTCTCTGTCGACCGCCAATCATTCGTCCAATCCCCCTCACCTGTCTCAGGAGACTCTTCGTCCCGCATTCCTAACTTTCTCTCATCAACTCCTCACGCTTCTCGGCGCTCCCGCCACGCCGGCGTCTCTTCCATTCCGTCTCCAAACCCTCATCCGGATCCGTGCTGCCACCCTCCTTCTCTCCGCCTCGTCAACCATGGGCTCCCTTGCCCGTTTGACCGAGTCCCTCCCTTCCATTCCTATCCCAGCTAATGTAGCGGCATCCGTATCAACGACTCTGTCTCATCTTGCATCCACATGTGAGCATCTCCGCGAAGGTCGTTTCCAAGCTGCTCTAGCGGACGCTCGGGTGGCCGAGACAGCGGCAGAGCGCAGCTTCTTCGAAAAGAGCATGGTGGGCCAGGTTTATTTCCCTGATGAACATAAGGTAGCTGTTTATCTGCCCTTACTGGGCCCGATTGGTGTCCCTCTTATCGTAGGGCTTCTAAAGGAAGTCAAGAGGGTTGTTACTGGTCTGAAGGCCAAAAAACAACAAACATAGGCTTTCCCTCGCTATCTAATTGTATCACCACAGAGCTTTTCTCTTTTAATATGAATTTCACTTCCACATATGGGATATTACCGACTGATATGTCAGTTGACAGTAGAACAAAGGGCTGTGTCTCAAGTCCAGCTGGATTATAGCGAAGCAGGCCAAAGTGCCAGAGTAAGCCCAAGCGTTTGGATAGAAAATAACGTCAGAAACCAGTGCGCCTGGTTTATTCGCTAAGAGAAGGCATACACGAGAAGAGCAACATGATAAGCAAAAGAAACCTGATTATTATACTTCCCGTGTTGTTTGTAGGTTGGCTCTACTCGCTTCAGGAGACTCGGCTACCTTGAAGCATGGATCACCTTTTTTATTCATGAATCCGACCCGATCAAACATCTCCACAAACCCTTTGTCTGGTTCAATAGAAATGTAATGCCCTCGTTTCTGCGACCCTGTACCCGGAAGCCCACCTGGAGGAGTGTATACCTTGATACTCTCGGTACTAAGTTGCCGTTTGACCTGCGGCAGTGGAGTAATGGGTACCTTGGGTATATTATCCATGTCATGGACAGCGGTTTTGGGGATTGAGCCAAATAGACTCTTCACTCTGGTCCCTGTGCGGTGGAGCACCGAGCGTGAGGAGCTCCGGTGGGAGCGACCAAGGAGGAAGTCAGTACGGTAGGAGCTCTCTTCGGATGGAATGGGATGAGATATGCTGAATGGTGTACTGTTGTATACGCTATTATGATGAGGACGCTTTCCGTAAGGGTTCTTGTGCCCATTTCGACGTCTTCTCCAGCAGAACATCGCCGCCGAGGCAAGTACGGCTCCAAAGATGGCTCCCGGAAAAAAGCCGGCTATAATGGCTTGAGTTGGGAACGAAGGACATGCTGCTGGGGCTGAAGCTGAGGTCGAATTCGCTTCTGTCATGGGGGAGTTGGAAGCTGAATTCGCATCAGAGGGTGATAGTGTTGTTGGCTTCAATTGATCAGTCGTGGGTACAACATCTGATGCCGTGAATGACACTGAGATGGTTGAAGATGTCCCGGTGGTTGTCGATATAGGATTCCCATTGAGGGCTGTGGTAGAGGAGATATTGTTGTCCATCTCACATAGCTGGTTTCCTTTGCATTTATATCCGAACGGACAGCATGAATTGCCACACTGGAGCAGCTGATCATCGAGTCTGGTGGTTTTGACTGGGTTTGTTGGGTGAAGGGTGGCATTTTGCAGCTGTACATTGCAATTGATAGGTTCAATGTACGTGCACGTTTGACCCTTAGGGCAACAGATGGCCGAGCTTGCATTGTCTAGACTTATGCAGGCTGAGGAAGAAGGACAGCAAAATGAGCCTGGCAGCCCAGCAGCTCCGCATTTCTGGTATGAACTGGGACATCTGTCTAAATCTCGTAGTGCTAAATGGAAGGCATGGTTCGGCGTGACCATTGCAGATATGACTGATATGAGGAACAGTAATGGAGGGTTTCCATATTCTAGAGTAGCGAAAGTTGCTCTCACCATACTGGCTATGTTAACCGCTCCTCACGGGCACAAGTGCAGGGTATTCGTCCTTTAAAGGGAGAGGAACAGAAGGCTACCGATGTCAGATTAAGGCAGCTATAGCAAGAAGATGAATTGACAAGGACGGATCACTGATGAGAGGTGATTCCATTGATGGCTTGAAGGAAGGTTAAACAACGAGGTACAGACAAAGGATGCTCTCCTTTGAGATCCGCATACTAAATTAGATAAGGCCAATCAAGACATTATAGAGCGTAAGCGCTGGATGCTGCCTAAAATACTTCTTCTGCTTCTGCTTCAGAGCCACTGGTCTGCAAGCGCCGGGTTCCCAAAATAGTGACGAGGTATGGGTCTCGGCGCAGCTGGCTTCGATGCGAGTGGACGGGATAGACGCCAACGACCCCGACATCATGAGAGAGTTAAACATAGCACAGCCTAGAAGCTCTTGTGCGAAAGGCTAATCTTCATCTGAGTCGAGAGAAGGTGCAGAAAGAAGCAAGATGAAGGATGCTGGATGGATAGTAGATTCTCGGCTCCTGATTGGGTGGTAACGGGACCGGCTTACTTCATCGGCACTAGTCCTGAAGGAGGAATGTCCCATCTTGCGCGGCGATGGAAATTCTGCGGTTTTGCTGCTGCCGTGTGAGCATCTAAACTCGTCAATTGCCAACCATCATCATGCTTCCCCGACTCCTCCGGCCGCAGAGCACGCTGCGTGCTGTCTCTTCCCTCACACAGGTGAACCATTCCCGATCTCTCAATGGCCACGTCGCTCCGATTACTGATCGCGTGTTACGCTACAGAAACCCACCTCCGCTCTCCCACGCTTCCAGACTCGCGGACTGCATCGTGTGCCCCAGTTGACTCACGATACCCACTTCAAGAACAATGGAATTCCGGAGCTGTTATCACCAGAGGCTTTCGACTTCGCTTGGACGCAATACCAGACCCTTTTGATTGACAAGTTGAATCTTCTTACACAGGGTGAGCTTCATTCTCCGAGCGGCCGATAGAGCGCGGACCCAAGTCATTCCTGATTTCGGGAGAACTACAAGTACACGGATTGCATTCTAACATGGCTTCGTTGTAGATACCGTCGATGCGGATGCGAAACCTGGAGAACTGCTGGTCAAGTACTCCCGGCGCCCAGAGATGGCCTCCGTATTCAACTACGCCTCTATGGCTCATAACAACCATTTCTTCTTCAACTGCTTGGTAAGTTCGTGGAGCTGCGTCGTATGACTACGGACAACGATTTAATATCGCCCTCTCAACAGTCGCCCACCCCTACCCAGATCCCGGACAAGTTCGCCAAGGACATCGTTGATACCTGCTCCTCGATCGAATCCCTGAAACTCGACTTCCTTGCAACTGCCAATGCTATGTTTGGCCCCGGATTTGTGTGGCTGGCCAAGAACCTGGAGAGGGAAGGATTGATGCACATCTTCTGCACCTACAATGCAGGCTCCCCTTACCCGGCCGCTCACTCTCGCCGGCAGCCCGTTGATCTGGCCACGCACTCCCCCGACGCTCCGTTGGGCAACCAGTTTGCTGGAGCGATGGGCGCTCACTCCGTGAACCAGAAGAGCCTGGCTCCTGGCGCTGTCGATGTTCAGCCCATTCTCTGTGTCAACACGTGGGAGCATGTATGGATGATGGACTACGGCATTGGTGGCAAGGCTGAATACCTCGAGCGCTGGTGGGATCGCATTAACTGGGAAGTTGTGTTCGATAATTACAACGCAGTCAGCTCGATGAAGGGCACACGGCATGCGGCCAACCGGAACCGTAGCCTGAGCATGCTATGAAGGAAAAATGTTCTACAGAGCGAATACATATGCGGTTCCCCTCCTTTCATGTCTTGATAATTGTATTATATACTACATGGTTTGGCTGTTCAGGGTTTCTTTATATCTGGGTCTAATTGTACAGCGATTGATCGCAAAATAGAAAAAGAATAAGACTCAAAATAGAGACACCACAACGCTGTAACGATCTATGTCTAGTCGTAACTATGCGCCAAACTCCACGAAGCACACCATATATGTAAATGCAAAACCCATACATCCCCCTCCCCATATGCAGCGCATATCTCTAAACACCCCCGATCCCTCAGGTAGACCAAACCGAGGAACTAGCTCAACTACCTCCTTCCCTCGATATCTCTAATCCTCTTCTCAAAAGCCTCGATCATAATACCAGCCATCTGCCCCTCAACAGCGCTCATCATAGCCGCATGCAACTGATTTCGGAACTCAAACTGAATTTCCAAGTCAACTTTCGTCATCGGCTTATCACTCTGCACCGGCACCAACTCCCACTTCGTGCTCAAATATTCGAAAATACCCTCATTCGCCCCAGGGAAGTTCCCACCTGCCTGCCCGTCTTTGGAATCAATCCCGAATTTGGCCCCGCTGCGCGCTTCAACGATCCACCGAGTCCGGTCGCAATCGACCCGAGATGTGAACGTTTCACTCAACGGCCCGTAGCCGACAGTCAGGAAGGCGCGGCTGGGGTACCCTGTTTCTGGATCGCGGTGGGTCACCGTTGAGGCTGTGAGGAAGGGGAGGAATTGGGAGTAGGATTCCACCGAGGAGATCACCTTGTACAGGGATTCCGGGGCGTAAGGAAGGGTGCGGGTGGCGGTAAGGGTGCGGCCATTGTTGTTGCCGTTACCATTGTTTGAGAGTAGAGATGATATGGAAGGGAGATGGAAGGATCGGAGTGTTTCGATGTTTGCTAGATACGGCTTTCTGGTGGTTGGTAATGTTGATGATGGTATCGTTGGTCGTTGGAGATATTGCGACGGGGTTGCGAGGTTTCGCGATAGCGATGAGGGGTTTATGCGACGACTGAGATGTCGCGGAAGAACGGATGGCCTCATGTTGTGTTCCCGTGTGTGGATCAACGACAGTGATGTTGGGCTAAGAGTTTAGAGAAGAATTGTCGGTATTGTTGATTGGGACTTTTTTTTTTCTTGTTCCGGCTCGGGGAGTTTATCCACGCGGGCTCGGGACGTGCCGAAGGTTCTTCTAACAACTACTTTACTATCTATAAATGTTCTATATGTATAACGAATAGCGAACTATGTATAATGATAGCGTGAGATACTGCGTTTGAATTGAGATATACTCTTCTCGAGTGGAAATCAATGTGATCGCCTGTTCCGTTGACTATGCCGTGTTACTGCTGCGGATTACTATCTACGATATCACTAAACGCAGAATCAGGATACCAGAGGTTGTTGTTCCTTGAAGGCTGCGAGGGACCCTGAACTTGCTGGTCCCACAGATGCTATCGACGGGTCAGATCTAAGTACTATAGAGATGAGATCCGGCTTCATTGAGCTTACCCAGTCGAGATTAGAAGGGGCATCAAGCATCCCTTCGATCACGTCCAATGATGTGAAAGGAGGTTCTGCAATATCCAGCCTAGGTATCTCGCTTGACGTAGCAACGGAGTACGATACGTTTGCCGCACTCAAGTTCTCATACGATGGAGGTGGAGCTAAAAATGACATGAGCTGGAGTCGTGAAAGTACTCCGTAAATAGATATCCTTACCGGCGTGCATACCAACCGGTCGGTCATCTGGGTTGCCAGCTGCCAGTCGTATAATCGGTTGTGTTGTGCTCAAAACACCTTTCTTAACCCTGCAAAGCATAATTGTCAACGCAGCATATGCCTTCTGTGCATCTGTCGATCGTCGGCGACTTTGCTCAAAAATTCGATGGGACATCTCTAAGCTAGTTAGAAGGTCTTCACGTCCTTTGATAACGACCGTTACATCGCTGTTCATTATCGGGTCCGCCGGAGGGTCATAGGACAACTCTAGACAGATGATCATCGCAGCAAGCAGATAGTCAGCATTCTGGAGTGAATTTGGAAACTGCCTGTCGCGATACAGGATTCCTCCAGGCTGGGTTTCATGGTGCAGGTCTGCTTGATGACGGAGTATCTCCTTGGATGCACTCATGCAAACCCATCTCGAATATGCGTACCGGAGATTACTGTGGACTTCACCTAAGTAACGTCGGTGGAGCACGCAGCGAGCTTTTTGATACAATAACTCCAATGTGTACCGCCGGAGAATCAGGTCCGATGGGTCTGCGAATGATTGATCCACTGGCCGTATTCGAAAGTTAAAAGGAACAAGGCCATAGACTTCCTCCAACCGACGGTCAATCTCAAGAATTTCGTCGTAGGTCACGGGTTCCCGCGAATATGCAAGGTCAGAGATTTTACCAAACACAGCCATGATTCTCGATTTCGCTCGAGTATAGGATGCAGTAGTGAGCTCGGACTCCGGTCGCGATAGTGGCAGATGCGTGGTACCTTCGCTGAAGTCTTCATCGCATATATTGCGCGGTAACTCGACATCATCTTGCCAATCCTGTATCGTACGTGGCAGACCAACTTGAAACGAGATCAAGGTGTCTAGCTGACGCATAGTTGCCCAAACACGTCTCCTCATTTCGCCTTCATAAGCGGAGATGCTGGGAAAGTGCCGCGGATCACGATGATATCCCGTCCGCATCGCTAGCCTAATAGTGATTCCAAGGAGGAAGGAAACGCTGACTTGGGCATCATTGCTTCGATGAAACTCTCCTAAGGTATAATAGAAAAGTGCCTCGACCTTATACTTTCCAGGCTGCGTGTAATTTGACTGGACAAGGCACTGTGCGGCTCGCTTCCTGAAGGTACTAATGATGTCCCCAGAGTCCTCTAAGTAGACCGGTAAGGGCTCCCCTAGACGTTGTTGAATCGTAACTGACAGAGTGAGGATAGCGTACAAAAATGCTAGCCACGAGAGAGACACAGTCTGTGGTATTGACCAGAATAGATTATACTGCGAACAAGATTATTAAGTGTTCGCAGCCACTATTTTTCCGGATAGGGGTTCATACCTCTTTTTGAAATGTGGGAAAATGAATGGTGGCTATGAATTTGTTAGTCATATTAATGAGGTTCAGACACTAAGAGAGATCTAAGTACATACTTAACACGGGTTCTTTGCTATTGATGAATTGTGCTATAAGTCGATCTGTCACCGGCCTTGGCGGAATGTCAACTAGTAAGTCTTCTTTGCTCACTGCTTTATTCAATCCTAATAGAAGAGTCGGTGATGGTGTGTTGAGGGGATCGCCTTCAAGCGCTTCGTCATCTGAGATACCATTGCCTTCTTGCAAGTATTCACGAACGCCGTTGATCTGCGAGTGTCCAGTTAGAAGATAAATATCTGAGGGGGAAATAACAATGGAGACGTTGAAGTTCACTGACTTCCTCGAGTATAGCAGTCCAGTGAGCACCGTCAATATAGCTCGTTCCAGTATTTTCCACTACCAGCTTACTAGACGGGTCCAGAGGAGGCTCCTTAGGCTCGGAATCCGTGCTAGAAGAAGGCGTCCTTGAGGTTACTCCGGCGTCAGTTCCCCGGCTCGTAGATGACTTTTTATGTTCCTCTGGCCTATGAACGTCATGGTTTTCTGCCAGACTCTTTTTCTGGGTCAATGATAGGATCAAATTCTCGAGATGCTGCAGGCGGTCCTGAACAAGAGTTGGGCTCGTTCGGCTATGCGAAGCCCTCCCACGAGGACCCCGACCGACAAAGGTGCAGGAGAGGGCTTCACCTCTCTTCTTGCAGTTCGTGCACGGGTATGTACGGCAGCACTTGAGTCTGAGCCGAGCCATTAATAATAGGTAATCAAGTTTTTCTTGGTGTGCTGGGTTGAGGGCTTACTTTCGGCTTCTGCAGGCTGTACAAGATAGCTGGACTCTAGTTCTCTTTTTCTCGGTTGATGACAATGAGGTTGTGCAAGTGTCTCTAGAAGTGAAATCTGTCATATCTGTAATATGTAGTATATGATGTCCCGATCTTCCGAAAGTTGATTGGGAAGCCTAAGCTACTGGAGATAGAGATCGAGGAAGAAGACATGTTGGGTATGTACGTTCGTACTAGGACGTGACTTCGGTCTCCGTTCGTTATCTCCGTCGCTTCCCAGTTCAGCCAGATAAATATATATCGCCACCACGAAAGGTATGGGTTCATTATGTTTTTTGAAGATGTTCTGAACTATATATATCTACTAACAATAAACGGGAGAGTCTCACTCTTGAAGCTTGCGAAATATTTTCGGTACTATCCTTTTGCGTACACTACAGTGACACTGTCTTCGGCCGCCGGCACCGGCGATACCCACTCCAGGCTAATTACTATATATTACTAGTTACTATAGTAACTTCCTGTTCGATCAACTACACTATCCATGTTTAGGCATTACCCAGTCCAGGTACATGGTATGTATGGCGTAAGTAGCATGCTTTTATGCTCCTGGGAAGCAGGCGATTGATTTACTGGCCAAGTCGAGGGCAGGTTTGACATGTGTGGTCCACCTCCACAACGTCGACCCTGATCTCGACTTATATTCTCCCAACATCGCAGGATTCAGAACCCTGGAGGATGATGCAGGTGTCAGCATGATCTAGAGGCGTGGCAAGACACGATTATGGGTTGTCGGAACCGAGGCATCGTCTTCGGCCGACTAGAGAAATTAGCCATTAGCAATGGCTGTTATACGGCCCAGGATCTGAGCCTATGAGAACTTCGCTAACTCAGGCCCCACGTCGTGGATTAATTAATGCAATGTGATATCAGTGTTACGCGCTGCGATATATTATGTGCTGCAATTTCCAAGACTCGTCGGGGTGGTTTCGCGGATTCTTATAGGGTGGGCCTGGAAAAGGATTCCACCGACGTTGAACTGTTGGCTGTTCTGGTCCCTCTTCAGCAGATTTCCTGCTGGTCACACATGCCAATCCCTAGAGAATTTTCATACATTTTCGCGCATTCATAGTGCGGATTGTCAGCTTGTGCTCGTCGCTGGTGGGTCGGCAGATAGAGACTGAGAGGTTAACGGTTTTGACTCGTACTGTGTACTAGATAACTATATATAGCTTCGCTGCACAAACCTCCACTAAAGCGTCGCCATTGTTCATCCTTGCTATGCTAGTTGCTTATTTAGGCTCTTCGACGGTTATCTAGCGCGTGGTTCTCTGCACCTGGATGCACCATTTGTACCGAGATTCCGAGTATAGTATGGCACGAACCAGTTATTCTGACACTCCAGAGGGGTGCAGTAAGCAACTGGACAGGAGACCTTCTTGCGGTATCTCATATCTTCGGACAGAGTACAGTATTTCAACCTCCCGGTGTATGATCATGATGTTCCAACGTTTTGCTCATCTTTATCGCTGTTCTACCCAGAGGAGGTGGAAGATCATCTGTATATACTGCGAGCGCCTCGTGGACTGTAACCTTTGGCACTACTAGTACTTACCACCATCAGGCATCAAAAATGACGTCAGGCCCTTGAGAGGAGTCGCTTACTATAGTGAGGGTACTGTCGTTTTGATGGCACCTGCACACGTCACGTTGCTTGTAGTCGTATGTTATACGCAAGCTTTCTACTACCAGTATATTACGGCCCAGTGCACTGATTAAGTTACTCTTGTGCTGACTGTACTAAAACTTTCCCCGAGTTGGAGTGATAAACATGTTTGTATCGAAACTCGGGATTGCAAGCGCTGTGATCAGACATTTCAGGGGGAGGACTGACCCAAGCCACAACTGGGGGGACGAGGTAGACATTGTACAACTGCGACATATCAGCGGCACACCATGATTGGTCTCACTCGTCGTCCAAGTTACGATCCTGTCACCTGTGTTTTCTGTCGATCTGACAGGGGACTGATGGTAACTGTGGTACATTTTTGTCACCTGATGGCCCTTCAGCCATGTTCCAGAGCTAGCCAGAGGGTCTTCGTTCTGCAAGCCAGGGAACAACCAACAGGCTTCTTCGTATCCAAGGGGTCTTGCAAAGAGTGCGAGAAGCTGCTGGAGATAACATCGGCCTAGCAATGGCAGGCACTTTGTCACTGATACTTTATCAGTTCTGGCACCCCAGAGGACTAGTACTATACACATATATTAGCGGTAAGGATAAGCACAATAGATAAGTTAACTAACTTTTCGAAAGATTTCTAAGGAATCCGTGTGCTCACTGGGTCGCAACAAACTAGGTTGAGTTGTGCTAACAGTTTTGGTAGAAATCGATGACTCCAAGCAATACTATGCTCTCCATGACAGCGATATGCTAGGTCAACACTGTGTGGTAGCATATAGATATCTGTAAAACAACTAACGGTATTGTGAGAGTTGTGGGAGTGGCGCTTGGTATAAATGGCTCTGTTATCGTCGTGCATTATATATTAAACACCATATTTTCCAAATACTCTGCCAATTAGGCAATATTGACGCGACCATTTTGACCAAATTTGTCTGGATTTCCAGGAAGTGGGTAAGCACAATTAAATATCCGAGTAGTAAACGAACGAGAAAGATTGAAGAATAGAAACAGATTTGGAATAACTTGGATCCACTTGAATCTTTTTTTTTCTTAACCACTCTCTGCCCCTCTCTCACCTACTAATAGTATTATTCAGGATTGTCTGCAAAGGGTGGATCGGTGTTGCCTTGCACAACAGGGGTCTTTACCAGCGAGAAGCATCAGATGTCTCCACCATCAGGCAAGTCATTGCAACCTGACCGGTTGTATTAGCAATTTGCAGTGTGCCCACGCAGATTTCGCTTTTTCTTCTCTTCTTTTCTCTCCCCCTCTTTTTTAGTTTTTAATTATTTTTTTTCTTCCGCCCACTTACTTATAGTTCCAAAACACATTTCCAAGAAGCTTCTACCATCAACATAACATGGTGGCGGTGGTGGCACGCCGGCGTTATGTTGTTTTACCTGACTGTAGAAAAGAACAAGTACAGGTAACTCAACCACCATTAATTGGTACTCCCTGCAAAGTATGCAGTAGTGTAATCATTGTTCCTGCAGGGATTAAAAAAAAGAAAAAAAGAAAAGAAAAAAAAGAAACTCCTTCAAGCAACGCGGGGTAAGTGAGGCGATATGAATGGCTGAAACCACGAATTCTGCAGACTGACTGATAAAAATCATCTAAATCCACTTGACGCTCCCGTGATTCCAACGTGACATTGAATGTTCTTCTGATATATTTATATATCTTTGCCATTTCTTTTTCCTTTTTCACGAGCTGTATACTTTAAGCCTCCTTCGTTTAATTATCTGATTTTTTTTTTAAATGATCACTGGGCATAATACAGCCTGGTTCTTTACCATATCACCCTCGTCAATTGCCAAACATGCCTTTCATCGAGTGCTCCTCCCCACCCATCAAAATGGGCAACCCCCGAATTGACGCTGCTTCCCAGGGAAAATTGCTGCCTACTATCATCGACGAGCTGGCTCGCGATGAGCCCAATGGTCTCTGGATAGAATACCCTACCTCCCCAACGGATTTTGACTCTGGATATAGCCAGATTACTTATGCCGAACTTGCAAATGCTGTGAACGGTGTTGCCAATTGTATTACCAGTGCTTTGGGAAGAGACAATACAGGAGAGTCACTGGCCTGGTTAGCGCCCAATAGTCCCTTGTGCTCTATCACGCTTATTGCGGCCATGAAAGCTGGCTTCAAGGTGTGCAAGTCATAGACATGTATATAAAGCCGTGCCCTTGTCGCTGATCACTGAGAGCTCTAGTTGTGTTTGATATCAGAAAGAAATACAGTGGCTCAGAATCACAAGCTATTAGAGGACATCGAATGTTCTATCATAATCACGACAAATGCGGTCTTTCCACAGGTTCGAGCCACTTTGCGTGGAAAACAGATCTCCGTTATAGAGCTGCCTCTATTTGAGCAGCTCCTACATGAGCACCAAAGAAGATATGAGTATAATAAGGAACTGAAGTTCCTGTACTACGAGACCGCTTTTATCATCCACAACCCGTGTTGCACAGGTAAGTTGTCAAAAAGCCATAGTGAAGCTAAGGATGCATCAGCTGATTGACCCTAGGATCTCCGAAGCCCATGTTACTATCCCACAGTTTCATCGCAAATGTAGCACGTAGTGTTGGGCTCTCTGCTCCAGAAGGCTATGAAACCCAGAGCTCCATGCTTGGGAACAATAGATGCCTTCTGCTTTGTCCTCTGAGTGATGTAAGTGTAGTAGCTATACACTCTTTCCGCAGGATGCTGCTGACAGCTATCAAGCCGGCTGGCGTACACTTCGGTGTTTTAAATGCTATCTTTAATAACACAACAGTTATCCTGCCACTCCCTGAGGTGCCTCAAACAGGCCGAAGTTTGACGCAGACGCTCCGACATATTGACGCAGCTTGGGCAGTTCTAGCTCCATCAACCTTAGAAGCCATGTCAAATGATCCGTCGTCCCTAGAGGAAGTTGCGAGTCGTCTCGAATGCCTTGTATTTGCAGGGGGTGGTCTTGCTAAAAGATATGGCGACTTGATCGCTTCCAAGATCAAACTTATGCCCTCGCCACATTCACCTGAAACAGGGCAGCTTCCCACGATATATCGACATGAACATGATTTCAGATACGATTGGAATTACTTTCGGTTCCACCCTGCTGTGGGTGCAAGATTTATCCCGAAGTCTGCGGGAGTACATGAGCTCGTATTCAATAGAACGCCTGCCGCCGAGCTGTATCTGCCGATTTTGGCCAACTCATACGAATTTCTGACGCAAGATTTATACGCCAAGCACCCAACTATACCCGACACATGGACTCATGCACCGCAAGTGATACCTTTGATTCATGGAGAAAAGTCAGAGCCTATCGACTTCAACAGAAATGTATGTAGCTTTTCAGATATCTCAGCTACTCTCGAGCAGGTTCCTGGAGGTTAATGAAACTTAGCGACTGCAATTTTCAGCTTCCTGAACCACTACATATCGGGAGTCCCTTAAATGGCTCTAAATTTACTCGTATACCCGTAGTTCAGAAGTAGGAGTCTGTCACTTCTCCTCCACCCGTACGATGTTTAGATAAGAATCATCGAGAACCATAACAGAAAGAAAGGCCAGAAGATTTCATTCAGCCGACCTGACCTCGGCCTTCATCGCAACCTTTCCGCCAGGAGCAATAATTTGCACTGTTCCTACACCAGATCCCTCTTCCTCATCGAGCACAATCTGGTACTCGTCCTCTGCGTATAACGGACTCGTCGCCCGGTACGTAATGCTCTCCGGGAGCATCGAAGCAGGGTCGTCCTTGTTTGGTCGTGTATCTCTCCAGAGATCCAAGATCGAGATCAAATTAAGCGGGCCATGGACGACGATGTCCCTATGTCCCTCCATCTGCTGGGCCCATGGAGTCGAATAGTGTATCTTGTGAGGGTTAAAGGTCAACGCCGAAAACCGGAACAGAGTGACGGCTGTCTGTCTCAAGGTACGGGTGTGAGTCTTGGTTGTTGAGACAGTTGACGAAGAGGCTGGTGCCGAGGGTAATGGTGCCGGGTCACTTGTTGTAGATGATACAGATGGCACGGCTAGTGCTTTACGGAAGACCCAGTTCCTGGTAGACTATTAACCTCTAAAGACCATGGGGACATACTGGTAACAGCGTAAGATGGAAACTTACCGGCGATCAATAACCGCCACGCCATGTTCGTTGCGAAACTCCTTCTCTACGCCCACTACGATCATCTCCTCTCCCGTCTTACGTACAATCTTGGGCTCGGCACTGAGCACTTTCGTAGTTTCCTGGACCTCTTGTCCCACGCGCAATGGGTTAGGGCTCCCATCTGCGGCACGCGGCCAATGCACCTCGCCACCTGCCCACATGCGCCGGGTGAATGGAGTCTCCGGATTGTAGGAGACGTCGGTACCGTCGGCACCTAGTTCACTTTCCAGAAATGCGGGAGTGAAGTAAACTAGATGATAACCTGGCGGGAGGGGCGTGCCAGCAGGCAATGAGGTTGAGGTATGGCTCAGCGATGGGGTGTCAGGGTATAGAGATGGACGGTTCAAGGTGAGTGACAAGAGCTGTAGCTGATTGGCGTCACAAAATTGTGAGCGAGTTTGCGGCCCCAGGGACTGAAAGCGCGACAAGAATGATGCTGCAATGGATGAGGCGGAGAAATCGGCCACTGAATATCGACCATGATGTACTGAGAAGCGACGGAGCGAAGAGCACCCTCGAAACAGGTTCTGGTTGGAATGTCTGGCCCACTGTACAGCGGAAGAGAGTGACATCATGAGTTCACACGGCTGGTAGAGTCTTGACTTTGCTCAATCTCACATTTACTGGCTGTTTGAGAAGGTGGTTGAAAGCTCAATTGAGTTACTTGGGGGAAGCATCTCGAGAGTTGGTTGAGGGGTTTCCGAAACTCGGGGTAATGGGTCGGTCTCGGAATCCTAAACAGAGATGTTTCCGAGGTACTAACTATCTTCGGCAATTGTCACTGGATGGGAAAGTAAAATCATCGAAGCCTCGGCGACTTTTTCTTTCGCCGGCACGAATTCGAAGTTGCAAAGGTGAGAGAACCAGACACATTCGGGGGATTTCGGTTTTAGCCGATCTACCTCTCGGTCTCCTCCACCTAAACCTTTAGACCCAACTTCATCTGATGACAATTCCTCCTCTGCTTTGCGGTTCGCTGCTTTCCGGTAGTTTGCATATCTACCTAGTAGCTTTCTGGGAAATGTGCTTGCAAAACTAAGAAACACCTAGGCTTCGCCATGCTTGAGCCTTTCTAGCGACCCTTCAACGTGGTCATTTTCGGTGAAAACGCATAGATGGTGGTCACAAAGACACGATCCGAGCTGGCGACATGGTCAAAGCTGGAGCGAACAATCGGAACAATCTGGGAATTGTTGGCTACATTTCGTATAGTGGAGCAATCCCACTTACTCTTGAAATGCTAACATAGCCGTTTGTCTTCCCCCTTACTATGCATAACCCGGTTTATAGAGCGGCATAGTGTAAGGTTGAAGATTTTGTTGGGCTCAGGTATGTCAGACTGGAAAGGTGTGATCGATAGCGTTGCCAGTTAGTGACCAACAGTGACAGCATGTCATGGATCCTGAGGGTATAGGGTCTTCATCTTCTTCACGTTTTACCCCCTTCCCTCTCTGCCCATGTGTGGTCAATAAACGCCAATCAGATGTCCTAGCACATGTTGCAAGGAACAGTCCAAAGCCAACAATCTGTCTGCAAAATCCCATGCATTGTCGAAACATAGCGTATGTACATCTTCATAGGCCTCTGGATCAAACCTATAACGGATTAGAAATATATACACATACAAGATCATCAGGTCCACCTTGCAACGTGACAAGCAAGTGTCACATGGCTGCTGATCAAAATGCATAGCTTACACGGAGCATTCTCGATCTCCTTTTACTCGATAAGATGTATCTCTTAGTCGAGGCGCCACCATATCAGAAGGCTTGCAATGTGGCGGATCAAACTCGGTCTAGGCCAGCGGCAAGTCGCCAGCCCCTTGATAAAAAGGGGCACCATGTGTCTTATCTGTGCTATTCGAGTTTCTTCGACTGAACGCTACTGCAGCACAGGAACGCCTCTCAGCAACACCAACATACTGACCCCTTACATCAGGTCTGCAGCAATAGAAAGCAACAGTAGCATCATATTGAGAGGAACGATGACATCGCCGCTCATGTGCAAGTCCTTGCACAAGCTGCTACTAATAAGCAAGGAGAGCTGCAACATTCCTGAAGCTGGATCGATTTAGATTCTGGACCTGACTCCATTCCATGTTCATGAGAGAAGCTTGGTGGGCCCCCTATTGTTACCTCGCCAATCGCTACTTGGGCAATTGTCACATATCTAGGTTTAGGCATCAACATTTTACGATGCTCACTCTGGAAGTTACATGGTGCCTCTGCTGCATCATGGACGCCACTCGACAGTCCTTCCGGGTAGCGAAGGAGTATATATGTAACGACGTCGGCTGATCGACCCTGGCACTGAGGAAGGGTAGGATTCAATGGACTAATAATCAAGGATCCCAATAACCACAGGAGTGTAAGAATACCGCTCATTGAGTTTGACTCATCTTCTTCTGCCATTTGTTTCTTTGTTTACTCTGTCCTCCGGCTCCCTGATCTTCTTTCCGCTACCCAATTCAACACTCGTGGCAATTGTAATGGCAGACACTGAACAGGGTTACGACCCAAATGTACAGGCCAAGGAGACTGGACATGTCCATACACTGGAGTTACTATCTACCGATGCAGAATTGAAGGGTTCCAAATTTCAGAGAGGCATCGCGGTATTTGGTCGAGTATTCGCTCAAGTGTCTGGAGTGGAGGCTCGAGGAATTGAACGCGTAGCAGATGATGAGCGCCAGCCTCCGGCACCCAATACCTACACCCGCATCTTTCTTTTGTGGCTAAGCTCTGCGTTGACTGGGAACAACATTATTGTGGGACTGTACGGTCCATCTTTATATGGGCTTGATTGGAACCAGGCCACCATATGTGCCACTTTGGGGGTTATACTAGGAAGTATGTGTGTAGGGTATATGAGTACCTGGGGTCCCAAAAGTGGGAATCGAACCTTGGTAAGAAATATCAAGACGATGATCATGGGCTTTATAGTTAATTTTGCACTCAGGTCGTGACTCGATACTTCCTTGGATACTACCTCAGCAAGGCTTGCTGTCTACTCAATATCCTCACCATGCTAGGATATGGAATGGTGAACTGTATTCTCGGGGGCCAGGTCATCTATACAGTGTCTGGAGGCCGTACAGCTGTTCCTGTTGGCATAATTGTAGTATCAATTCTGACTTGGTTCATCGCCACTCTTGGTGTGCACCTTTTCCAGTTCTATACTAGGTAACCAAACGCCCTATCCATAGATAGTTCCGGCCTCCACTGCCTTTATTTATAGTCTTCCAACTGACATCCAGACATAGATACGCCTGGATCATTCAAATCCTAACGTTGGCCATCATGGTCGGCTCTGCTGGGCCAAGCTTTATCACCTCACCTTTCCTTTCCCCAGATATCTCTAGAGCGACCGCCTCTGATCGGCTTTCGTTTTTCTCTCTTTGCTTCGCCTCAGCCGTTACCTGGGCCCCTTCGAGCGCGGACTACTTCGTCTACTTCCCAACAGCAACCAAATCATGGCGAATGTTTCTTGCCGGTAGCACAGGCATGGGCCTGGCAATGGCTTTAACAACACTCCTAGGCATTGGCCTAGCAACAGGGATTGACACGAATCAAGCTTGGATCGAGGCCTCCCTTGCCTCCCCAGGGAGTCTGCTCGCGGCGTCCTTCAGCAACCTGCACGGCTTTGGCCGCTTTTGCGCCGTCATCCTCCTCCTCGGCACTGTCTCCAACAATATTCCATGCACATACTCAGCGGGTCTCAACCTCCAAATGCTGGGCAGCTACGGCCCACGCATCCCGCGGCCTCTCCTGACTACATTAGAAGTCGTAATCTACACCGTCTGCGCAATTGTCGCTCGCGAGTATCTTCGTGAGATCATGGAGAATTTTCTCCCGCTTATGTCTTACTGGATTGTGGCATGGCTGGCAGTTTGTCTAGAAGAGGCGTGGATTTTTCGCCGAGGTCACAACTATGACTGGACGATTTGGGATAATCCACATCGTTTGCCGATGGGCCTTGCTGCCGGGGCCAGCTTTGTATTCGGGCTTTTGGGTGCCGTCCTTGGAATGGTAAGTGCTTTTGTCATACGCAACAAGTCCTATACTGCCATGCTAGACTATAACATATATGAGTATATACAGTCACTAACGTATCATTCCAGTCCCAGTCATACTTTGTCGGACCGATTGCCAAAGCCTTGCCTCAGAATTGTGATCTGGGTATGTGGCTTGCATTTGGCTTTACTGCGGTGGTGTACCCAGCTTTTCGACATGTCGAGTTACATATTATAGGACGGTGACAGTTTTGGCAGCATATAGCATAGTATAACATGAACTGGGAATAATACTGTTCGGACGCTAATGATATCACAAAATACATGTACGGCTCAGACCCGAGGCAATCTAATGCGGCGAATGGGCAGGGTATCGACGCCAGATAGTTCACTGCATACATATACCCAAAAGCCTAACGAAGAATATATATTGTATAGATCGTCATAACATAGGAGAAACCACTACAGCTTCACCTGTCCACCCTGCAATCGGCTCCAGTCATTCTGCTCAAAAGGCACGTACTTGTCCCCTTGGAGCCAGTACAGCTTGTCCGAAGTACTGACTAGCGACGGGTCTACGCCTTCGGTCCGCAGTACATGCTTTTGCTGCTTGTTGTTTCCTGTTCCCTGCATTTCTGGCGCGAGACGGAGGAAAAGTGGAACTGCGAAGCGAGGTAGATTCTTTAGGGCGTGGGCTGCAAGACTGCTCAGTGTCTCTTGGGTGGGGGGAATAAGCACCGATGGGTCGGTGGCCTGGTGCTGTTGTTGCAGAATCATGGCGGCACAGCCGGCACGTCCGTCGTGATTAGGCAGCGCAACCCCATAGACGTTAGCTTCATGCACATCTGGGTGTGCTCCTAATACCTCGGCTACTTCACTTGTGGACACATTTTCACTCTTCCACCGGAAGGTATCGCCGAGTCTGTCGTTGAAGTACCATCTGCCTTCAGTGTCCCACCGCACCATGTCGCCAGTGCGGAAGTACGCATCGCCCTTTCGCAGCACGTCACGAACAATCTTGCTTTCGGTAGCCTTGGAGTTCTTAAAATATCCCTGGAAATTCTCTACAGGATCAGCCGCATTGATGGCATACAGCAGCTCACCGGGCTCGCCTCGTGGCACCGCCTTACAGAAACCCGTCTTAGGGTCCCGCCAGGTTGCTGTGATTCGTGATCAACCTGAACAACGGTCAGGCCGCCTCCTAGAATTAGCCTACTAAGCGAGCCGTTTCGCCCGATTGCTCCTGCTGTGAAGTCGTTAGAAGAGAGATTCCAGGACCCGCTGGTGCCTTCAGTTGCCGAATAAAACTCAGCAACCGTGGTGACGTTGAAACGCTCTTTGAAGCGGCCCCAGATATCAGGTCGCAAGCCGTTTCCGAACACTGCGCGCACATTATGTTTCTTGTCCAAGTCCTCTCCAGTAACAGCATCGATCTCAGGCGGAACGGCCATCAAGTACCGCAGGGTTTCACCCACGTACTGTACAATCGTTGCTTGGTTCTCTCGCGCTTCTCGCCAGAAGTTTCTAGCGGAGAACTTGCGACCGATGATCAGGGTTGATCCGCTCATCAAGCAAGTTACGAACCCCAGGATCGAAGCGGATGAGTGGTAAAGCGGCATGCACTATATTGATATCAGTCTATTGCGGAAAAAAGGGCAGTTAAAACTTTTGCAAGTTAGGGTGAAGCATACTGTGAAGAAACGATCGTTCTTAGCCAACCCCAACCAATGGGTGACAAATATGCCGCCGGACCAGCACTTCCTCCAGCTGACAATAGCGGGTTTCGGGAGGCCGGTAGTACCGCTTGTGTATATAAGCAAAGCCAAATCACGGAGGACAGGGCCATTTCGGACGCTGTCATCTTCGCGCGTGGCCTCCATCTGCATGATTTGGGATTCCACTTCGGGTGTGAAAAAGACCACATCGACCGACCCACCACCTTCACGGAACTCCGGTGAGCCCAGCATCTCCATCTGCTCAGGCGTAAATTGCTGGCGGATTTCCTCGTCAACCACCAATAATCTAGCGGTTGATGTTCTGACGCAGTGTGTCAGGGGTTTCCCTGACAAGTTATAGTTGATGAATGCGGGCACGGCACCGATACTCCAGAGTCCTAGAAGGAGGAATGCAAAGGTTGAAGAATTCATAAAATCCATCGCTACGATTTCCTTAGGCTTGATTCCGTGAACTTTCTTCAGCCAGGCGCCATACCGCAACGCCATGACGTAGGTTTCATGAAAGGTCCAGGCACGGCCCTTGTAGACAATGAATTGGTTGTTCTTGGTCGCCGGAGCCAGGGCATGCTGTTCCAGTACATAGAAGAGGTTTAGATGGTCACGACGCTCTGCCAAGCGAGACTTAAAAATGGACTTGATCAAGCCCCCGATTAATGTCACATCATAGAACAGTGAGTATTTCGCATTCAGGTATGCGAGTGTGGTGGCGAGAGCAGGCGTAGCGATAGAAAGGGGCATATCTGAAATCCCCAGTATATGGTCAGTGGTCATCATCGATGACAGGTGCTTTGTTCATCCTTGGCACTCCGGGTGGGAATTCAAGGAACGTACCAGGTAAAGGGATAGGCATCTTGGGGAGTTCTAGAAGGGATCTGCTAGGGACACGCGCTTTACGCGAGTTGAAGTTCAAATGGTCGGGGTTATGAAACGAGAGGAAGGGTAGAAGGGTAGAAGGTCCAACGAGTACAGAAATTGTGTTTAAATGGACGACGTCTCCATGGTCAATGGGTTTTGGTGTTGGAGTGAGGGCGATTGGAGTTGCCTCGGCTTGCTCGTATGGGTCCGGCTCTCTCGGAAACGGGGGGCCAAGATTAAATTTATCTTCTGATCCACTTTTTCTCGTCTGTTCCACTTGGGTTCGTAGAGTTTAAAGTAAAAAATAACAAGAACAAGAAGTTGGAGTTTCTCATATTTATTTAGTTTGCCTTGAATGTGATCATGCATGTCACATGCTCATCTGCCAAGGGAAAACGAATCAAATATATTTAATACTTATCGGATTTAGACAAAACCATAAGTCTGAAGGCTCGGACCTCGAGGCGCTTCCATACCACTCACATCATTACATTTATTTCTTCCGGATTACGGGGACTTCTTCATACCCGTCCTCCATAAAAGAGCTTAACACTTCTAACCCCTCCTCCAACACGTGGGTTTCTTGGACCACTCCGATCCGGACGTAGCCCTTGAAGTCTTCTCCCTCCCCGAAACACTGACTTCCTGGGACAAACATGATGCCAGTCCGCTCCAGAAGCATTTCACAAAAGGCGACATCATCAATGGGTTTCCCCATTTTACTGAATCGCACGAATGCTGTCGTGCCTGCGCGTGGTTTGACCCACTCACAGGCCCACCGATGAGATTCAATGAAATTTTCAAGGATCGCCAGATTCGTTTTCGCCAATTGGATATTCCGCTTCAAGAGATTGTGGATGCAGCTTGCATCCAGGGCATAGCTCGCAATGGCATCGTCCAATTGGCCCACCGAGATGGTAGTATAGTGCCGCGCAGAAGCGCATGTCTCAATAACAGACCGATCACGAGAGGCAATCCACCCCACACGAATGCCTGCTAAGCTATACGCTTTGGACATTGAACCAGTCACAATTGTGCGTTCGTATCCTAGAGAAAGGAGCGATGATGGAAAGTCAGGTTCCATAGGAGTAATAGAATGGAAGATAGGCCGATAGACTTCATCAGCATGAACAAAGATTGACGAGCTGCGCGCAATTTCTACGATCTCTTCCAGCGTAGCCTGAGGAATGACAGCCCCAGTAGGGTTCTGCGGATTACTGTTACCAACACCTTGGGTCAGTCATATTTGGCGGTATAACAGTGTGAAGAGGTCAAATGGAATACTATACTTAAGGATAATCAGCTTAGTGTTGGGACGAATCATCTCTTTTAATTCGTTAAGATCCAATTTCCACCCATCGTTCTCCTTCGATTTCCACAGGCTCACCTCGGCTCCAAGCGATGCTGGGACCGAGTAAAGCTGCTGATATGTGGGGTAATGACAGATGACATGGTCTCCCGGCCCAACCAATGAATAAAGCAAAAGGAAGTTGGCCTGAATAGCGCCCGGCGTAATTAAGACGTTATCGGAAGGTAATGGGGTTGGCGTTTTGACCGAGTAGAGATTGGCCAAGGTCTCTCGAAGCCGTTCAGAACCTCGAATAGCACCATATGTGAGTTTTGTAGAGAGATCCAATGGACTCAGAGATTTGTCCTCGGACAGATCTTGTAGATCCTTCACTGAAATAGAGGCACAACATGTCTCTGCTATGTTGTACTTGGCATGGTGTTCATATTTATCCATCCACTTCCATGATGTTAGCATAAAGAACGTGAGTTCATGCGGGGTTGTGAGGGGAGGGAGGATGTGATGTACATGCCTGCTCCACGGCAAATTCCTTTACTTGGACCATGATAACGATGATGACAGTGATAAGACTTTACAGAAAACCTCACAGAAGATCTAAATGTCTGATATTCGGCCTGTCCCTGGTCTTTTACTTTTTGTTTTGTTTTGTTTTGTTTTTTTGGCTCCTTAAATAGAATTGTGATCGAATTCACTACAGATCACGTGCCCAGCACCCCGGATTTAGCACCGAAGCCCCCATTTTTTGCAGTTAAATCAGTCCGTGAATGCCCCAGGCTGTCAGGCACCAGGTCGGCATGCCCATGCAGGTCCTCCGCCCGCGTCATCGGTGACTTGCGCTACCGTCTCAACCTCTCAACTGCATCTCTCCCTGCATCTCACCACCACTCCTTTTCTGCCTTGCTTTTGCTTCTCTTCAGCCTTGTCTTTTGCGGGAAGTTTCTGCATCTCTCTTGCTTTCTATAGATAGCGCCCACGAACGTCGACCAACAGTATTAATCAATGTCATCTTACCTGCTAATCCCCTCTGTCATTTACTAGTTACTCCGCACTGGTCACTCCGCTTGGTCCGAGACCCAGATTGCGAGTAAGTGAGGCGACTACTGTCCGATCTTCACACACACCGATCACAATGCGATCGAAATTACCAGCGCAGCTCTACCTAGCCACCCTGCTCTCGTTTTCGGTGTCTGCAGCTGTAGCACAGAGCAACTATTCCGACACCCGTGTGATATCTCCGCTTTTCAATGCTTTCGATAAGCGCCCAGACGATTGCCCGCCATGTTTCAACTGCCAATTAGATGCATTTCAATGTGCTCAATTTGCTTCCTGCGATAATCTGTCCGGCAAGTGCGTATGTCCGCCGGGGTTTGCTGGTGAGGACTGCTCGAAGCCGACTTGCGGGTCGTTGGCCGATGGCAATGAGAGGACCCCGCGGACAGATAAGTACTGCAACTGCAAAGATGGCTGGGGCGGAATAAACTGCAATGTCTGTCAGAGTGATGACGTTTGCAATGCCATGATGCCTGAAGGCCAAGGGGGTGTCTGTTATAGCCAAGGTGTCACGGTCAAGGAAAATTTTCAGATGTGCGATGTGACCAACCGCAAAATCCTCGATCAACTCAAGGAGAAGAAGCCCCAAGTGACGTTTTCCTGTAAGGCGGAGGACAACACCTGTAATTTCCAATTCTGGGTGGACCAGGTGGAATCGTTTTATTGCGGTCTAGATACCTGCAAATGGGACCTAGAAACCACCCACGATCGGAACAGAACTCAATACAAATGCGAAAATATCAGGTGCAAGTGCATTCCAGGCCGCATGCTCTGTGGAGAAGAGGGCTCGATTGACATCGGAGATTTTCTCGACCAGTCCATCCAAGGTCCTGCCTCCTTCACGTCGGTGTCTACCATCGGTGGTAGTGCGAATGACGGCAGCAAGTTCCAGGAACCTGCCATGGATGACTTGATCAAGAGCGTTTTCGGAGACGAAAGTATCTTCCTGAACTGTCAGTCTGGAGAGTGCTTGTACAAAACAGATGTACCTGGATACACGCGTCCCGTGAAACAAATCAATACACCCCTCATCGCTGGAGTTATCGCTGGTTGTGCACTCTTTGTTGTGGCGGTGATCTTGACTGTGTGGTATTTATCGCGCAGATCGTATCGGGGACGTATTCAGTTACCTCTCTCCGATGATTCGGACGACGAGGCCACCAAACTCTTGACGGACCACAAGCCAGCAGCACTGTATTGGGATAATGTGTCTTATTTCTTGAACGGGAAGGAGATTCTTTCTGGTATTCAGGGTGTCTCACAGCCGGGCCAAATTACAGCGATCATGGGGGCTTCAGGTGCGGGGAAAACGACATTCCTTGATATTCTTGCTCGAAAAAACAAGCGGGGCGCAGTCCGCGGTGACTTCTATATCAACGGAGAAAAGGTCAATGACCACGATTTCAGGGGCATGATAGGATTCGTCGATCAGGAAGACACCATGCTCCCCACCCTGACTGTACATGAAACGATCCTAACGAGCGCACTACTGCGGCTTCCCCGGGACATGAGCCGAGCAGCCAAAGAGCAGCGAGTGTTTGAGGTTGAGAAGCAGCTTGGTATCCATCATATCAGGGACCAGTTAATTGGCTCAGAAGAAGGAAAAGGCCGTGGTATCTCTGGCGGCGAGAAGCGTCGAGTGGGGATCGCCTGCGAACTGGTCACTAGCCCTAGCATTCTCTTCCTGGATGAGCCCACTAGCGGACTGGTAAGACTAAAATTATTCCGAATAACGTAATACCCAGTAATGGCTAACATGTTTAAATAGGACGCTTTCAATGCATTCAATGTAGTTGAATGCCTGGTGACTCTAGCGAAGACTTACAATCGGACTGTCATCTTCACTATTCATCAACCACGGTCCAACATTGTTGCTCTGTTCGACCGACTTGTTCTCCTGGCATATGGGAAGACTGTATACTCGGGCCCTTTTTCAACATGCCAGCAGTACTTCGACAATTCGGGATATTCTTGCCCTCCTGGGTTTAATATTGCTGATTACCTCGTGGATCTCACGATGCATGCTAGCGTTACCCGGTCCCATACTGACGAGGTCGTATCCCCGTTGTTAGACGTGCGCTCAGACCCACCCAAAACGGCATCAAGCAGCTTGCGGGCTGTCAAGTCAGTTGCTAGTGCATCAAACGCAAGTATCGAGGACAATTCTAGTAGCACACTGGAGGCAAATCGAAGGCCAAAGAATGGCCGTCGGGTCTCTCTCAAGCAACGCCAAGATAAGCAACTCTATTCTCGGAAGAAAGATCTTGAACGTCCCGCCACCCCAAAAACAGATGAGGAAGATGTAGGTGATGTGACGGAGAACCCTCAGCAATGGTTACGCCTTTCTCGTCAGCCGGGCAATGTTCCGCCACAGATCCTTGATGACCCTGATGAGTTACCTCCAATTGCACCTGGTCAGACCGATCTCGATATCTTGGTTGCGAACTATTCCAGCTCAGACGTTGCTCGTTCCGTAAATGACGAAATCGTAGCAGCCGTTCAACATGCTCATACCGCGAATGGTTCGGCAAACTCAGACATCCTCTCAGGGGCTTCTTCGAGTACACCTAAGAGCTATGCTAGGATCGGCCTGTTCCGGCAGTTTCTCATCCTGTCTCAGCGGACTTGGCGGAACCTGTACCGGAATCCGATGTTAATGCTTACTCATTATGCCATCTCTATTCTGCTTGCCGTGCTGTGCGGATACCTGTTCTATGGATTGACGGACGACATCAAGGGGTTCCAAAATCGTCTGGGTCTTTTCTTTTTCGTTCTCGCCTTGTTCGGATTCAGTACACTCACTAGTCTCACGGTGTTCTCGGCAGAACGACTCCTGTTTGTCCGTGAACGGGCAAATGGCTACTACCACCCTGTTACGTACTTTGCGGCTAAAGTAGTTTTCGATATTGTGCCTCTGCGACTCCTGCCCCCTGTGATAATGGGGGTGATCGTGTATCCCATGACTGGACTGATTCCCGCATGGCCAGAGTTTCTCCGGTTTATCTTAGTACTTGTCCTCTTCAACCTCGCAGCTGCCAACATTTGTCTTTTCATCGGGATCGTCTTCCGCGATGGAGGAGTGGCCAATTTGATTGGCAGTTTGGTGATGCTGTTCAGTCTGCTATTTGCTGGTCTGTTACTCAACCACGATGCAATTCCCAAGTCCGCTTTGTGGCTGCAAACAGTAAGTTTAGTTTATCCTATACATCCTTGAACTTCCTGGAGGGAGGATGCAAAAGCTGACCAAATCCTAGCTGTCCATCTTCCACTACGGCTTTGAGGCCTTGATTGTCAACGAAGTGACGTTCCTCACTTTGATCGACCATAAGTATGGGCTGGATATTGAGGTTCCAGGGGCCTCCATACTGAGCGCTTTCGGGTTCGATACCTTGGCGTTTTGGAAGGATGTTATTGGACTGGGTATAATCTCTGGGGCGTTCATCGTGATTGCCTACGGAGCAATGCATGTTTTCCTCATTGAGAAGCGGTAGTCCCGTAATGAATGCATCACTCCATGCTCGCCTCTTACGCCTCGTCTAATCTACGTTCGGCGAGACTGGCGTTATTCCCGGCCGTTACTGTCTGGTATTGATTGGTGGCCAGATATTTGTATCATGCTCTCATAACCTTTTCTTTTCTTTTTCTCTTCGCGCTCTTTTTATTGGGTTGATTTGTTTTTCTTTTTTATGCTCACCATTTATATCATGTTCATCTAACCCCTGTCTTAATGCCCGCTGAGGGGTATAGACGACTCACCGGAAGTGTATATATGCCTATATGAGGAATGAGAATTACTACTATCACGGCGACCTCAATCAGTCCACGGGTATGAGTAGAAGACGCCAGATGCGGATGGAAGCACGTGTCTCCCCCACGTCATCGTGCGGGCTTTTCATATGAGGGGCAGTTTTGTTAACATGATCCTATTAATATATATATTTATATTGTGTCGATTGGGGCATGTATAATATATATATAATCAGAGCAAATCATCCGGCTACTGCTTGTTGCATGTAGTTGGCAAGTTGCCCATTTTGAAGTCAGTGTTGACGGGGGGGAGACTCCGCTTCTGGTAAGTAGCAAACCGTAAACTGAGGCATCCCACAGCGATATCGCATTCCATTATTAATACCGGTCTTATCGGTAATGGTCCAATTTCTATACCTCCTCTCTACTACTACTAGTAGTATCCTTACAGTACCTATTCTGTACCGTATAGGTGTATGTATGACAGTATGGACATGTACTCCGTAATACTATGATCGATACGTAGTACACCATAGATGTCGTCTCTTATGCTTGGTGTTACCGTACGAGACTAGTGTTGTATTGGTTTCTCCAGACTCTCTCACCGCCCACACCGAGTCCGAAATCCAATCCAATCCAATCGCCTTCTCCAGCGTCGACTTTCCACTTCTCCAATATATCCTCACGTCTTCTGCTACCGGGTGTCTTCCCCTTAAATTTACTCCCTCTGAGTAGCCGATCCTCCTCTCCGACCCCCCGAGAGCGGCTATATCTACCTTCGTCCTTTTCTCTCTCTTTTCCCTTCTCTCCAGCTTCTAAGACACCCCCCCCCCAAGTGCAACCCTCTCGAGTCTGCCCAACATGTCCGGCGAAGCGTGGCTCTACCTGTTGGCGGTGTTGATCAACGCCGTCAACCTGTTTCTGCAGGTGTTCTTCACGATTATGTATAGCGATCTGGAATGGTACGTTGCTATCCCCTCCTTTGCTTGCGGGCATTAAGGTTGGAGGAGCTCCAACCTCTAATAAACCACTAAGCGATTGCGACGAAATGACGGAGCTAACCCGCCTTGCTTTCCCGCAGTGACTACATCAACCCTATTGACCTCTGCAACCGTCTCAACGCCTACATCATCCCCGAAGCTGCCGTCCATGCCTTCCTTACTTTCTTGTTTGTAATCAATGGCTATTGGCTTGCGATCTTGTTGAACCTGCCTCTGTTGGCGTTCAATGCCAAGAAGTACGTCCTCAGCTTCTTATTTCCATAAAATGAATAATAATAAAGGAGCTATGCCTCAATGGCGATACTAACCGGACATTGTACTATTCAGGATTTACGATAATGCGCACCTGTTGGATGCGACCGAGATCTTCCGCAAGCTCAACGTACACAAGAAGGTCAGTTTCTCGGGATTTACGTCATCACTCACTCGGAATGCCAGCTGACGGACTATCAGGAATCTTTCATCAAACTGGGTTTCCACCTTTTGATGTTTTTCTTCTACTTGTACAGCATGATCGTTGCCTTGATCCGCGACGAATCTCATTGAGTTCGTGGCACGATGGAGCTTGCGATGCGCGGTGGCCATGTTGGCCGAAGTATCGCGTGATGCGCTGTTTTGTCTTGCGATAAGTAAGGCTGGATCGAGCATGATAATTCTCTCCGGCGCGGTACCTGGACACGCTCATGTCGCCAAACTGGGCCTGCCCAGTTTATCGATCTCGACGCTCCGCCGGTATGCCGGAGCATGCAACGGAAGATGGACGAAATGTAGGATATGCCTATGACAAGGAATCTGACGACGGGTTGGGGTGATGATCAATCTTTTGGTATAACGACTTAGACTGGGATGGTGAATTGAAGAACTGCATCGCTGCGATGCAGTTTAATTGACATATTTTGCGTGTATTGATTTTACGTTGCGACTGTATTCCTTCTTGATGTCTGATGTGCTGTATATACCACCACTCAAGCAGTGTGCCAATGAAGAGCGTACGATACCCTTGCTGTGCCATTGTAATATAAATCCATCTCCGCATGCCTACCCTTACCCAAAGATCGTGGTATGGGCAGTGTGTCTGGAGAGAGCGCTGGTGGTGTAGAAACGGCAGTGTTCGCAGCGGGACACTCTCGCCGCCCGAAAAATTAGACTCGCCGCCTTTGAAACCTAGATGATCCAACTACCGCCGCGCTTTTGCCCTTCTTGTCTCTAACCTTCCCAGCATAACTGAGAGTTTCCCAATCCCACGTTCGCTGTTGCAGAAACTCAAATAGCTGTGCATCATGGCGTCGCTATTAGGTGCTGGCTACGAGTCGAGCGACGATGAGACCACGCGCCCCCAGACCCAAACTACCGCGCCAACAGCGACCAAGATTGTTGCAGCGCCTGAAGTAAATACAGAGGTTTGGTCCCCGGAATTTCTCATCCTTTCCATTTCGTCCTTTATCCATGTATTCCTTAGCTATTATATAACTCCACCCTCAAACGTTGCTTGTCAGGGTCTTGTGATATCTAACAATTGTACAGGACCAAGCACATATGCAGATGATGCTCGCTAATACGTCCTCCCAAGCTCTGACTTACAACGCAACATACGACGATCTCTCCCGACCGAACCAGGGCCCAGCGAATCCTTTTAAGCCTCATGGTCCCGCGAATGGGCTCAAGCGTAAGAACGTGCCTACGGGATACGCAGAGGAAGCGGCAATCAGCGCAGCCACCTTCGCCGCGCAACACCGCACGTTCCAGAGCTTAGGATACACACGCAACCCCGGGCTACCCGGTCAGTTTGTGGGAGATCTGGACCGAGCGGCACAGTATGGAGGCCGGGATATCGTGCAGATGAAGCCGTCGAAAGAGGTATCGGCAGCCTTGCGAGCTAAGAGACAAAGGAAGGGTGATTCGAGCATTGTCGAGGGTGAAGGCGCTTATCTGGGACCGTGGGCAAAATATGAGGATGATGACCATATGTACGAGGAAACGGAGGCGGCCGAAGACCGGGAGCTCGCCAGTGACGAGGAGTATGTGGAGGAAGAGGAAGAGGAGATCGCCCCGGCTCATATGGCTGCCATGAGCAAGCAAGCGACAGACTACCAAGAGGATTCGTCCAAGGTGGAAACGACCGAGTTCCACGGATCTGAGCAATTCGACTACTTGGGCCGGACGTACATGCACGTACCGCAAGATTTGGATGTCGACCTTAGGAAGGAGGTTGGCAGTGTCAAGAACTTTATCCCGAAGAAACTCATCCACACCTGGAAGTCACATACCAAAGCCATCACATCCCTCCGTTTCTTCCCTCAATCAGGCCATCTCTTACTCTCATCTGCAGCGGACGGCAAGGCCAAGATCTGGGACGCATTCCATTCACGCGAGCTTCTGCGCACTTTCTCCGGCCATTCCAAAGCTATCACCGACACAGATTTCCATTCCACCGGGAAAACGTTCCTCACTGCATCCTACGACCGCCAGATCAAACTCTGGGACACCGAGTATGGCAAGTGCCTTGGTCGTTTCTCTACCGGCAAAACGCCACACGTCGTTCGGTTCAACCCCGGTGCCGAGCACCCCCACGAGTTCCTGGCTGGTATGTCTGACAAGAAGATCGTCCAATTCGATACCCGCTCCGGCGAACTGGTCCAAGAATATGACCACCACCTCGCAGCAATCAATACCATCACCTTCGTTGACGAAAACCGTCGCTTCATCTCCACATCTGACGACAAATCCCTCCGCGCCTGGGAATACGGCATCCCCGTCCCGATCAAGTTCATCGCAGAACCATACATGTTCGCTCTCACACGGGCAGCACCCCATCCAAATGGCAAATACGTCGCCTTCCAATCTGGCGACAATCAGATCGTCGTCTACGGTGCCACGGATAAATTCCGCCAAAACCGAAAGAAGAGCTTCCGCGGCCACAACAACGCTGGTTACGCCATTGACCTCAAGATCTCTCCAGATGGTCAGTTCATCTGCTCCGGCGACAGCGCCGGATACGTATGCTTCTGGGACTGGAAGACCGGGAAAATGTACCACAAAATTATGGCAAGCGGTAAGGAAGGCGGTGCGACAACTTGTCTTGACTGGCATCCTCAAGAGACGAGTAAGGTCGTCACTGGTGGATTGGATGGTGTGATTAGATACTGGGACTAGACTAGAACTGCTTTTTGTCTTCCAACTTTCTGTTTCCTTCTTACTATGGTGAAATTGATACCAAAATGATGGCTATACCTCGTCAACGCCGTTTATATCGTCCTATATTGTATGTACTTAACATATCTTTGTCATGGGCATGGGTGCTTGGAATGTACCAGGAATACCTGGAGACTATACAAATCGGAAACTATAATGGCCAAGTGCAGTAGTATAACGTCCCAGATACGTCAGAAAATTGATCGGGTTAAGTCTAATTCATGTTTTCTCTCCGTATTTCAATAATTAATATACACGAACAAAGGTCAGATACGTGCAGGTGCACTCTCTCGACTCGAAGATGACAAATGGAGGAAGACAGCAGGGATGTCACAGCTAGAAGCTAGCCATCTCAATCCAGCTAGCTACGAATGCCAATCTCCGCCCTCGATCTGCTGCCATACGATGCGAGAATTCCTCGAAACTAAGCCTGGCGCCTGTGCCTCCTCGTTCTTTTGCTTCACGTTCAACACGATTGAGGTAGGCCCAGCGTGAGAGAATCAGTGGAGACGGGGGCATGGTTGGACCATCTCGAGGTGGAAGGGTGGAAGTGGAAGCAGGGGGTAGAGGTTGGATTGGTGAGGGGGAGAGTTTGGGAGCCGTTGCTTCTGCTTCGGGGGAGGAGGCGGCGATTGATGGCGGTGCCGGGAATGAGGTTGTACCGTTAGGTTGGAGCCGAAGTTCGGCAGGAAGGGTTTGCGGGAAGGTAGAGTGTGTTGGGGAAGCGCTGTAAGCATTAAAGTGTGATCCAGAGGTATCGGGTAGCTCCTGGGTATCTTGATCTGGACGGTGATGTGGCAATGTAGGATCAAAATCGGACTCAACAGATGGTGCCCGACTCCGTTCTGATACTGGGGATTCTGGTGATGGAACAGCAGGCGCAACATCCGGCTCTTCCTGTTGGGTCACGGACAAGGCAGGCTCGGTTGAGTCCTCGGGATCAGCGAGGTGAGTTGGACGGACATCGTCGTCCGGGAGCCGCAATCTAGGCGACGGAGGAGCAAGAATGGGTCCGTCTCGGACGGGCTCCAAAGGCGGGCTTCCGATAGTGTATCCCGCCCGTTCAAGCAGTTCTTCGAGTGACCTGTGGCCGAAGGGGTTATGCAAGGAAGGCCCCAGCTCCTCTTTGACCTCGTCGTCTACGGTCTGCCCATTCAGTCGGGCGAAATGCTTCCCGGCATCTATTTGTTCTACCAGCTCAATCTCTCGGGCCCAGATCTTGCGCTCAGTGCGCGTTCGATAAACTTCCATGAGCAGGTCTTCCTTGGGCTTGAACAGTATATCAAGCAGTTCGTTAAATCCTTGCTGCGTGACTTGGTATAAGATTTCCTTTCCAACGTCCCTTTCTACTTCAGGGATTTCGAACCCTCCCCACCGCTCACCAACAAGTATACTGCGTGAGGATGTTGACGGATTTGACCTCACGTCGTAGTCATCAGTGACGTCGTCCTGGAACCGCACTTTGGACGAAGAACGGGAACGAGGAGATGGCGGATGTGACTCAAGCTCAGGATGTTGGCTACGGAGGTCATCCTCCACCGATACATCATCCGCGTCTGAATCGGTCTCGTAGCCTTCAGGCGCAGCGGCGCCATCTTCTTCATCGGTGTAGAATGCCCTTCGCCGCCACCGCTCATCTATCCCGTATCTACGAGCGGCATCCACTCGTCTATCATCATCATCAAACATTCTGTGGTATACAGCAGTGCCGATCCGAGCCCTGTCAACTGGGTCAGTTACCTCTGATAGGGGAACATAGGCCCCAAGAGCCGTCACAATATCCTCGTCGCGGATATGTTCGGCCGGAGGCCAGCGGTCAGTAGCAACCGACGAGCTGGAGCCATCAGAGCTGCTGGCATCATCTACGTTCTCGTCTCCGGGTCTACCTTGGTCAGGCAACCGGACGGATGGAAATAATGGTCGGATACTTCCGTATCGGCTCCTAACAGCAGCGTCACCAACGACGGCATGCCGGTCACCAGTGTCGGTCCCGTCGGGGCGCAAGATACCTTCGTTGTCCACGATTTCCATGTCTCCTTCATGGTTGACGCGCTTGCCTTCTCCGGTCCTAGACACCTCTCCTGTAGGTATGCTGCCAGGAAATGCAGAACTGATTGGCTGGCTCCCAAGAACAACATCTCGTGCACCGCCCTCTAAGAAGTCATCTTCCATGCCCGCCACCATGTCTCGTGTTAATTCTCTGCTGAGAGCGTAATATGCCCGGAATACTCGTAAGAAGTCCTTCCGTTCCACGTAGCCGTCGCCATCAATATCATAGCCACGGAAGACACGGCGCAGCCTCTCATCGTTGCTCTTATTATTAAGGCTTGCAAGGCCTTTCAAGAACTCTTCAAAGCCAATTAAACCATCACCATTCGTATCATAGAAAGCAAACATTCGATCGTAGATAAGGCTTGGAGGGGGTGGGCGGACCGATGTGTTGGGCACAAAGCATCGATCGAATGTCTTGCGGTCAATCGCCATATAGAGCTTGTTAGGGTCCTCTGCCCATTCGTGGTTTGCCAGGCAACGAAATTGATCCCAAAGAGCGTCCAGCTCCGTGTTCTCGAAATTGGTATCCTTCATCAGACGTTTGGCCAGGGATCGATGTAGACTGCGGGGAAGCATGGCAGGCTTTCCAGGATACCAAACAGGCTGGGACTGTCGGGGGTTCCCCAGGAAAGGAGCCGGGATCCGTACTTTGTAAAATAAATGGGTCTTGATGTGAACCTGCATTGCCTCACACGTCTCACAGAGATCGTAATCAATGCAGTTTGCGCATCGGTACCGAATGCCTTGGATCGGCATAGCGCCACAACTGTTACATGTTACGCCTCTGTGGATATAGCCATCTCTCCGTGCTTGGTCCTCGGCGATATGATAAAGTAGGTTGAGTAGGTTCTGGCCTTCCCTCGACGGAGAGGTGTCGTTGTGCCCTTCGCGCCAGGAAAAGACGCTCTGATCATCCACGACTGTCTCCCCACCATCCATATTTTGCGCGGGCGTAGATTCATCGGGGAAGGTAGAAGTGGACAAGGTAACCCTCTCCCCGTTCTGTCGACGGCGACGCAATTCTTCTCCGTAGTTGCTGTCTTCATTGAACCGAGCCAAGGCCCTCTCGATTCCCGCACGCGATATCCCACGCCGCTGAAGCTGCTCCGTCAAATAGTTCCTTTCCGCGCTGCCCTCTTCCACAGTATGCGCTGGCGGGAAGTCCAGAGCGAGAAATGATTCCAGAAACGTGTCTTCCATCATCTCGCGCATCCGCTCCGCATGAGCCTGGGGAACGCCGACGTCCTCCATGAGCTGATCCCGGGTTGCGAGCAACGAGGGAAGCAACCCACTTTCCACACGTCGGCCATCTTCTGTTTCTATGCGAAATGTACCATATACTCCATTCTGGCGCTCTAATTGCTCAAGGTGTGCGATGGCTCGGGAAGAAGGAGTTTCGACGGGCACAACTTCCGATCGTCTCCTTAGACCTCGCGGGCGGCGTATAGTTCTTCGGCGACGTAGAGATGGTTGGGATGAGGAAGAGATGATAAGATTGTTAATGTAGACAAGAGCGTAAGCTGCTGCGACACCAGTGAGCAGGTAGACGATAGGACGATACCGTGACAAGGCCGGCCTTGGTTGAGATCCCGGCATAGCGGTGGTTATAACGGCGAAAGGGCTATGGGCTATTAAACTGGGTCATTCTCATCGTGAATGTGCGATGAGATCCGAAAAGAAGCGTGCAAACAAAAGAAAACCGCTAGCAATGAGAATGTCAGCGAGGTGGGAGTATAAGTTGATTGGGGAAGAGTTGGAGAAAGGCGGACAACCAAAAGCCCGGTACATAAATGACCGCCTTCGGGGTTGCAGTAAATTAAGTATTTGATTTATGTTCTCCATGACACTACAATCTCCAGTCATCAACCTTCGAATCTCTATCTGTTTCCTATGTACTGCCGCAATAATGATAAGTCGCAAAATATAATAGCAATGCTGGGCAATTTGCAGATATGTGTTCTATCCCCTCCAATTTGGAGGTTGCAATATTCTCGTCTTTTTGGGGCGCATTTATCGTGCCAGCGCAACCATCAAACATCACTTGGCTATTCTCTGATAGCCCAGATCACCGATTATTCAGCTTCTTTTCACGCATAAAGAAGCTGCTAACAAGGGCAAAGAACACCACAGCAATCATGAATGCAAAGCCTTTATTCATAGCCCATCCGTAACAGCCCCGAACCACTTTGGCAACACTCGGATCAAGGGTCTTAATAAAGTCGAGACTCTGGCGCACGCCATCAACGATGCGGTCAATATCCTTACTGTCGCGCAATGCAGACCTCAGCCGGCCCCGGAGAATTTGCTGGACCACTGTTGAAGATAAAGATAGGCCGATCACTGAGCCTAGGGATCGGAAGAGGTAAGAGCATGCCGTCACTACTGCCTGGTCTTCGGGCGTCGAATTTGAGACTGCAAGAGTGGTCAGAACAACTCCATTTACTGCAAATGTATCTCGTTCACTTACTGAGGCAGATCAACGTTGATGTGACACCGATCCCATTTCCAAACCCCGAAACCACCATTCCCATGATCATCGGTACAAGACTTTCCGCGGCACCGCCAGAGAAAAGGAAGATCATTGTGACTCCTAGTGTGAGTAATGAATATGCCGCTACTGTCAGCCAGTAAAATTTCCCGGTCCATTTCATGACGAATCCGGCAAAAAGCGACCCAGAAACCCCGGCAAGAATACTGGGCAGAAGACGTAGCCCAGCGACAGTAGCAGACACACCGTCTACGGCTTGGAAATAGAGTGGAATGTAGAATAGGGCTGCCAACCAGCCCCCGAAGCTGAAAAAGTTACAGCCATAACTAGAAAAGAATGTTCGGTCAAAGATAATGTGACCGGGGGCAAATGGTTCCGCTGCGTAGAAGATCTCGACCACAACGAAGAGCACGAATAAGATAGCCGATACACTCAGCGAGATAATGGTTACCGGTATGGTCCAGGACACATTACTACCGCGGTCAAGGCCTAGAAGAAAGCCAAGGACCGCCCCAACGAGAATAATCGCTCCTGGAAAATCAATACGACGGAGCTTGTCCTTCCAATGACTATTTTCCTGCGGTGGCAATTGCAGTATGATAGAAACCGCTATGAAAGCAAGAACACATATGGGAGCTTGAGCAATGAAAGCCCTATGAAATGTATCAGAAGCAGGCAACCTTTTACTCTGGAAGAGAAGTCATACCAACGCCAGCCAATGTAGTCTGCCAATATACCACCTGCACGAGGAATAACGTTAGTGGTTGCCAATCAATCATAAAGTCTGTCTTACCGAAAGGTGCTCCAATTCCAGATCCAGTGGCATATATAATATTGATAATACCTTGCCAGACACCTCGATCTCGGAGCGGAACGATATCACTTAGTAGAATACTGACAACGGTGGTCATACCGCCTCCCCCAATACCTTGGAAAACCTATACTCTCATAAGCCACCCCATACTCCCAGTCATGTAAGATTGTCAAATACTTACACGAGCAGCAATCAATTGGTGGATATTCTGCGCTAGGCCGCAAAACAAGCAGCCAGTGCCAAAGATAGCGTACGCCCACAACAGACATGCCTTGCGACCAAAAATATCACTCAGTTTTCCATATAGCGGCTGAAACGACGTTAGGGTTAGAAAGTATGAAGTGGCAATCCAGCTTGTCAGATTGAGGGCATGAAGGCCGCTACCAATCTGCCCATAACTGGCCATGATAATAGTCTGGTCGGCTGCAGATAGGAAGACCTGGCACAAATTAGCACAGGCATACAAGTGATTCCGAGAAAGCGAGACCATACGCCAATTGAAATCGCAGGAAATATATAGCTCAGCTTTGGGCTTGATTCTGTCACGTCCTTGCCCGGCGCTTCCTGTAAACCACCATTCTGCCCTGCCGTGTCGGGGTCGCGCAAACCAGAAATGGCACCGTTTGAGGGGCGGACAGCATTGCTGTTAACCTGCGGGCCTAGCAGCGGGGACGTCTCTGTCGGTATCCTTTCTGGGGCCATGATGCTCCCTTCACCAGTCCCACGAATCAAGGATTAGACTGTGTCAATCGAGACAGATACAAGGAGAAGCGACAGCTCCACGGCAACTATACCACCGGTCAACCTCAGGTCACGTGTAGATAAGCAACCCCCACCGAGCTTACAAATTAAACCGGACCAAGGACATCCTCATTGGATCATTCGGCTCTCGGCCCTGGATGGAGCCAAAAGACTTGAGCCGATAAAGTTTCATACCAAGTCTTCGGTAGCGGGAGTAGTAAGATCACGTGGGCGGGAATGTTTCCTATGTAGATGTTTTGATTTACTTTCATGATAGAAAGAGACCCTTCCGGCTGAGATGGGCAATATCATAATAAGATGTCTGCGAAGCTTTGACCTTAATCCGTTTTCCCGGTGAACACGCTCTTGATGGCATTGAATACATTCTCTTAGTTGGCGACATCCATCTTCGATAAAATGCCTACGAGTTGTTGAGCAGCTAAAAGTGCCTCCAAGTGAATATTAGTATGTAGGCACCGTGACCTGATGGGATTTTTGGTAGTATGAAATTTTTCTTATTCGCTAGCCTCGTTCACTCGACTCTTTTTTCTAACATCTCCAGCTCACGCCTCAGTTTTCGCCTCGCTGGGCTCTTCAACGGTTGGCATAGGGATAGGTCCGCCAGGAGAGTCTGGTAGACGAGCAGTCAGTACCTCAACACCATCTTCCGTCACCAGAAGTGTGTGTTCGAATTGGGCAGACAAAGATCCATCAGCAGTGGTGCTGGTCCAGTCATCAGGCCATGTACGGTCCCTGTGGGTACCAATATTGATCATGGGCTCGATTGTAAAACACATTCCAGGCTTGGCGGTTCCTACCGCCTTGTTCTTCGCGTAATGTGGAACATTAGGAGCGCAGTGGAACAGCTGGTTGATGCCGTGGCCACAGTAGCTCTTGACCACACTGCAGTTGCGACTCTTCGCATGCTTTTCAATGACGTTTCCTGGGTCTCTGAACAGCATACCCGGCTTCACCAACTCAATAGACTTGTCCAAACATTCCCGAGATGTCTCCACTACTCTAACAGCATCCGGGTTTGATCGAGCCTTCTCTCCAACATAGTAGGTTTCGTTAAGATCACCGTGGAAGCCATTATGGTACAATGTAACGTCAATGTTGATAATGTCACCGTCTTCAAGTGGGCGCTGATCGGGAATACCGTGGCAGATGGTCTCGTTGATCGACGTGCAGACAGATTTGGGGAAGTGCATATAGTTCAGCGGCGATGGGTAGGACTAGACGCAATTCAGTATCAAGCGACACGGACAAGCTTACGATAGCTCCTCAAATCAAGACGGCCACTCACATTGCGCTCAACACAGGCTTTGTGAACCACTTCATCAAGGTAATCGGTCGTGATGCCAGGCTTCAGTTCCCGTGCGGCGATATCCAAGACCTCACGAGCCAGGCGGCAAACTTTTCTCATACCCTCTTGCTCCTCCTTGTTCAGGATAGTAATGTTATGCCGGCCGATGAACTTTTGCTCTGATCGAGGAATACCGTCCTTGGCATAGTCGGGGTGGGGGATAGATTTGGGCACTGTTCTCCGGGCCGAAAGTGGGTAAACAGGTCGCAAAGAACCGGTGAAAGGGTAGGCTGGGTAAGGATTGAATAGGCCGGTGGCTGGATCTGGTTCAGAAACTACTTTTGGCGGAAATAGGTTGGTGAGGATATTACTCTTTGTTTTATGAATGGCCTTGTGCTCGCTCTACAACCACATTAGTATACATGCGGAGTCCAAAAGAGAGTAAAGTACGTGGACCCTACAGGTCACACTAGGCAGCCTACCCAACTCCGTTTAAAACAGTCCTGTGAACAAAAGAAGCTATCTGTGCCCTGTTTAAGGCATGTCGGACACTGCAGAGTCCCCGCGACCTTGTCGCAATCCACTCCCATACATTTCCGAGTCGCGGCTTCCACTGCCATGCTGTAAGAAAGAGATAGAAAGTCGAAAGGGGGAGGGGAAATAGCGCAACAAATGCGAGACAGAGTCAAATTGGGGTATCCTATGCGGATAAAGTGTTGCGAGAGGTAGGAAAAAATGGGAAAATCCCCCGCGGATACACTCGTCGGATTACTCGGTCGAGTCTCGGCGCAAAAGTGACTATTCCCAATGTGGCAAGACTGTTGGCCGTCACCATCACTCGGGCCAGTGATTAAGCGCACCTAGGCGCGCGGCTGGGTATTTCATGTGATACTTCGACGTACGAGACGAAATTTACACAGTAAGCGTCCAAAGTATGGCGCAACCAACGCTGGCTGTAATTGGGGAGAAATCGTTGGATGCCACTCACGTGGTAATCACGTGAGGCAAAGTTCTATCCATGAGCCATAGTCATTGATCATATAGGAGTGAATAACGTTTCTTTTTAAGGGAAGCACAGTGCGCTTGGCTTGATAGGCCTTCTTCTGTTCTACAGTCATCATGGCACATGAATCTCCGAGGAAGCAGAAGGTAGTCATCGTAGGTGCCGGACCGGTCGGATCTCTCGCAGCCCTATATGCTGCCGCTAGAGGCGATGATGTTGAAGTGTATGAATTACGTGGAGGTGAGCCTACATTCACAACGTGCCCATGCTGTATTATGCGATATCTACTATATGAGGATATGACTTTGTTTCTCGACTCGAACTTGATTTCCTGGTCGCTGGAATGACATCATCGTCTGATATATGATATATCACATGCATTATCATGGATGGCAATTGCGGATCGTTTTGCTCACGTTGTGGAGTAACTTGCAGACCTTCGTGATCCTACTACAATCCCATTGAACTTTACCAAGTCTATCAATCTCGCTCTGGCCGAACGAGGTATCTCGTCCCTGAAGGGCTCAAATCGAGATGGCATGATCGAGAAGGTTCTCAACGATGCAATCCCGATGCATGGTCGTATGATTCACGGGAGAGACGATGGCAAGCTCTGGGAAGCTGCACAGGCATACGACGTCCATGGTCAAGTTAGTACTTGCATGACTGATGCTTGAGGATTTCGTGTCTAACAGGCTCACAGGCCATCAACTCAGTAGATAGGGGCACGCTGAATAATGCCTTACTTGACGAGCTGGAGCGGACGCCAAATGTCACATTGTTCTTCAATCACAAGTTAACAGGCGCGGATTTCCAATCCAACCGAGCATGGTTTGAACGTCGAGCCCCAGGGGATACCCCCCTTCCTGGCTCCTCCAATCGTGTCCCTGAGATCGAAGTAAGCTTCGATTACATGATCGGTGCAGATGGTGCTCATTCCGCCTCGAGGTATCACATGATGAAATATTCTCGAGTCGACTACCAACAGGAATACATCGACACTCTGTGGTGCGAGTTTCGGATTCCACCATCGGACACCGGTGGCTTCCGCATCTCGCCAAACCACCTGCATATCTGGCCCGGAAAGGAGTTTATGTTCATCGCTCTTCCGTCGCCTGACAAATCATTCACCTGTACTCTGTTTGCTCCAGCCGCCCACTATGCGCAATTGGAGAGCTCACCGCAGAAACTGTTCGAATCCTTCGATGTTAACTTCCCCGGTGTCTCCCCGGATCTGATCGCCCCTGAAGCTTTGCAAGAGCAATTCAAAGAAAACCCTCATCTCCCCCTGATTAGCATCAAAAGCAAGCCTCACCATTATGGCTCCAATGTTGTCATTGTCGGAGATGCCGCCCACGCCATCCTCCCATTCTATGGGCAAGGTCTCAACGCAGGTCTTGAAGATATTCGGGTCTTGTTCGATTTCTTGGATAAGCACGACGCCTTTGATTCGAATGCAAGTCTCGCGACTCGCCGTGAATCCCGCCGAGCAGCTTTTCAAGCATACACCGATCAACGTACGGCAGATACGCACGCCATCAATGATCTCTCCAAACAAAATTATCTTGAGATGCGCTGGGGAGTGAAGACCCCACTATATAAAATTCGCAAGTCAATCGAGGAAGCACTCGATCTCTACGTGCCTAGCCTTGGCTGGAAGACCCAGTATGCCCGCGTCAGCTTCAGTACACAGCGGTACTCGGACGTCGTCAAGGTGGTTCACAGACAAGGCAGGATACTCGGCTACGGATTCGCATCTGCTGTCATCTCCGGCATAGCCATCGCTGGAATACTGGCTTGGAAAATACCAGGTCGGCTTTCACCGCTATCTGCACTGCAATCTACAGTCCAGTTTTTAGGTCATATTTGGACGACGATTTCGCTCAGAAACGCATAAAGTGGATGTCTAGAGTACTTTCATTCAGCTTATGCTTTGTTAAGTAAACACTTTTTCTCTTTTTGTCTGTTTGCATAAATCAACGTCTACCTTGCTTATAGAGATGAACCTTGGATATAGTTGAGATTTTTCCCAAACGTGTTGGGTGGATGATAGACGATAGAGCATAGAATTCAACGCTTGTCCCAATGAATTGATGTATTCCTCGTCGCGATCTTCTTACACGTTTTTTTCTCTCCTGATTCGAGAAGGTCATGGATTTCATGGCCTTGTTACCTAGTCATTTTGGATAACCATCGAGTGTCCATGGTGCCACAGAATCAAGCTTTCCTGGACACCAGAAAACGTAATGGTCTACGAATCCTAAGAATATGAACGGGCTGTGAGTACAGCCATCAAATTCTCAACATATCCTTGGCCTTTTTGTCGGGCCCTAAGCTAGCCACTTCTTTCTCTTTTTGTCGGCATAATTGATATTTCTCTTTCATATCCTGTCATTCGCTGTGCACACGTGTAGCTCAGTTAGGGACATTATCGGGAAAATTGACCAGGGAACGTGTCATAACCGCGAGTTTCCCATTCGATCGGTGGTAATAGGATAGTTCAGAAAGACACATCCCACCGCAGTTTGACTTGTAGGATAGTGTATTGTCACTGTTATTCTTTGGATCAATAGGGCCACGTCTGCAGTTTAGGCCACCATGGAAATAGCACATCGGATTGAAAAGTCAGATCACTGCAGCCAGGAGTCTATGAACAAGACAAAAGGTGACATAACAGACATGCAATCATCCAGTACTGTATAATCAAACGGTATTTCAGGAGGCCGACCGCTGAAGCCATCAAGGTCGGATAGAGGAATGACAAACAGACAGCCACACCACAAGTACACAAAGTCCAGTATCATAAAATCAATCGGGCGTTAAACATAAGAGTAGGCAAAAGCAATGACCACGGTTGCCCTTGCGGCTCGGTCATAGTAGACATAGAAAGCAGACCAACATACTCGAGAAGACAGAAACAAACAAAGGACTACCCAGCACCGCGGGGAAAAGAGGCATTGAAGGAGAGCAACAACATCACTAGTTGAGTCTGACATGTAGCACGGTGACTAGTGCGACGTACGCTTTAATGGACGACCAAAAACGGCTTGGCCTCGGTATATCTCATAATCCATGGGTTTCATCAAGGGGAAATTCTCCGGACGGCTTGGGAGTTCATGGGCCAAATGTGGGATGCTGTGTTATTCATCAATCATCAGAGTCCGAGAAAGGATTATGTTCCGACCAAGTGGAGTGAATCAGATATCCGGGTGATCCAAGGTCAAAACGTTGGCTTACGGAAGGAGCCATCCCTGGAAATAGCCTATCAAGGAGCAATGGAGATGCACCACAGGTCATGGGACATGGTGGTTTCCAGTATGGTCTGGTCTGCGGCATAAAAAGGAAAGTGGCCATTGTGTGGAGAGATCACATTCAAGACTGAAAAGAGACAGGGCTTGTTCATGGATTGGCGAACTTTACCCGGCGAGTACGTCGATCCTGAATGCGCTTCTCCGTGTCAACATAAAGACGGTCTAAGAACTCCATGGCACTGGCATCTTTAAGGATCTTTGCCACTTGGGTTCCAGCTGAAATTAGCTGAAGAACATTTCGATCATCCTTGATGGGTCTGGACTGATGCTTGGCAGCATGCCTCATTTCCAGGGAGTTCTCCAGCACCGTGACTAATTGTTTGATTTGGCCATTATACAAAACCCGGGCGGGAATGCGGCGCTTGGTGGCTAGTCTTTTAAGGAGATATACCCACTCAGTCCATTCACGGTCTGAGGGAACCCTCACCTGTCTCTTGTCCGGTTCCAGTGGAATCGGAAATTGATACTTTGCAACAAAGTCAAAAGCACATTGTGATAACCGGTCATTCACTGCGCTCAAGATTCGATCTTGCTCTGAAACATCAAGATTAGTAGGAAGATGAGGAAGATCCCTTCCTTGAGCCGCTATAATACGCGGAGAGGGGATATCTAGTAACTGATGGGGTCCATCAAATTCGTCCCGATTGGACGGTCGTCTCTGTGAGTGGTAACGGACAGTGCCCTTGGTCTTTTCAGAATTACGTCGCTATGCCTTTCAACCAGATATTCCGGGTTCTCTGCTGGCTTAGCAAAGTTGTAATCGCGCCTAAGCGATTCCGGAGGCAGGTGGGCGGGGTGTTCCCACTCTCGCGAAAGAGTTGGACGCGGCAAAGGCCCCACGGGCGAGACAGTTATCCCAGAGGCGTGTGAATTCACTGGAAGACCGCTGTAGGGCATAGGAAACTCAAATTCCGGCGATACTTGCTTTGGCGGCCTTGCAGCAGCAGACTGAGTGTCGAGGGGACCACAATCACGATGTGGGGTAGAAAATTGTTTGGCGCTAGATAAGTTTACCTCAGCACGATACCATCTCTCCCCAATGGGAAGTGAAGCGACACGGCATGATTAGATAGATACCTTGGATGAGGTTGATACACTAACGGAGGCTCGCTAGCAGCGCCGTAGATTGGTGGTTGTTGATGCATGATGGCACTGCAGATGGTGAGCTTCTTTCAAACCCCTTAGACAACAGGGAACAAGGTATAGACAAGGGGATTTGCCAGTTAGCGCTGACCTGTGACGGGACCAGGAATCGGATTCACTGCTAATGGAGTGCGTGCAGGATCCACTGCCTGATGTCCCCGAAAAATAACTGAAGGCTGAGGACATTGCTATTTCTTTAGCTGATAGCACCGGCGCATGAGGTTGTATTTGAGCACAGGAATTGGCAACGAGACCACAAAATAGGGCTAGTCTAATATTCTTGAGGCTGCTGGGTTGTTAAACCAAAGATTATTTTCGAGCAATGTCTCACTGCAAAGCTTGGGAGCTCTGGTTTAATATAGACATCTAGGTAAGCAAAGGCAAGGATATGGGCCCAATCGTTGTGGACCGAGGCGAGCTTTTGCTGCTTCCGTCCCACGATATCTCAGATAAAGATAGGCATGGTATGAAGAACACCACGCTGCAACGGCCAAGGGACACTCACAAAGGAGACTCCGTTCCTGTCTAGAACAAGACTTGCGGAGAAGACCAATATACAGTAGGGTCAGATCGCCAATCAAATCCTCTTAACACCAGGCCCCATTTGACAAGGTTTACAGAGAGAGATCAGAAAAGGGGCGTAAATAACGACTGGATGAGGATAGGTAATAGTCATCACAGAAGCGCGAGGTATGGGCTAGGCAGGTGCCTGACCTAGCTCCCTTACCCGTCTTTTGTCTCACCTTCAATCAGGTGCTTCCTTGCACTGCCCTTTGGGGGGGGAGGGGAGGTACACCTCTCGTGGGATCAGCCCGGAAAAGCTGGAAAGCACCCATCAGGAGCAGATTCCGGTCAGCTTTCGGGTGCTGATCCTACCTCGAAAGGACATTGGGATCATAGGACATCGAAATGGAAGAGGGGAGCCGACAACAGATACCCGCCTGCGCTGAGTTTTGGGCAGCAATATCAGGATTGCGCAGGGCGCATGCATCCACTAGGCAGAGTGACAGGTTGTCTCAGGGCTTGGCTCCATCGGAGATCATTCAGCAATTATATCGCAGGAAGCTCGCGGTTAGAGTTTCTTTCCAGCACTGAGTGGGTTATCCCCACACCGATCCCGGGTGGAGTATGGCTGCGAGAAAGATGGGATCCATTAGGAATCTGGTTGTTGGGTGTCAAGTCGAATACTTCTTTCAAAAAAAAAGGAGCTCCGTTTGGTCCCGTTCGGGTTAAGGGGCTCCTGCCTGAGCCCTCAGGACGCAGCCAAGCAGGTGCTACGGAAAATCCATCCTTCTTCAAGTCCCGCCTTCATAACAAAACGATTCTCTCTAGTACCCCGGATTGGTCTTTGCTTTCACCATAGAAGCAACTGCCGCTGCACTTATGTACCGGTGCTGACTCCATCGCCTATAGCTTGCGCTGATCACTGACGGATCCGTCGACGGGGAGTACTAAAACGATGGGGGGCCACCTAAGTCCGACGGCCCATAGTGTCTACCATTATAGTGGTGCTTGGATTGAACAACATCGGCGGATCATAGAAGCGCCAGGTTCCAACAGATGGCGGCCCGAAATTGGGAGTCCACCGGTGGAGCACGCGAAATCTTTGCCATCCCCATTGGGATCGTGATGCTTCTTGACACAAGTTGGGCATACACCTGGCTGCGGGTTTTGTTGCCCAAGCTGCGGGCCAGTCCTCGTCATATGTGCCTGTGGATTGCGGGGTGGTTCAATCTGGCTCCCAGGAAAGGCCGAGAACAATTCAATTATTGGGTCCCTACTTCAGTTCCCGGCCAAGTAATGGATACGAAGTATTGCAAAAGTCTATCCGGCTCTATTCGGAACAATCTCTTCTCGGGGTTCGGCCGTTCTATCATTCCTGTTGGCGACGATGGGGATAAACAGGCCATTTGAATAGACAAACAAGGATTACGCCAGGTTAGAGAAGCAAAAGGAATAAAACGAATGTCATAGGCTAGTCCTATACGGCGCATACCGGGAGATACCGCGGACGTAGACATGGTTTGCAGCCCAACAAATTGTCCAGAAGGACTTGAAACCGGTAAATGATTCGTAGATTACTAGTACAATGGCCAATGTTTTCTGTCACGTCAGAGCAACACGTACTCCTTTTCATTGATGGGAGGGTTACACTGTCAATGCAGTAACTCTTGGCTGGGATGCACTCGAAGATCATTCACCCTTCCTACATGCTTGCTGCATTGGTGATTCGATCCCCATACGTCGAGCATAATCCTAGATATCCGAGTAAATAAGGACACGAGAACTCTATGGATAGTCGTGATTGTCTACTTACCTCACAACTGAGCCGAACACCCGTTTCGATCCCGACTTGGGGTAGGTACCCTAGTATCAGCTTTGCTTTCTCGCCGCTGGCATAACGAACAGAGCATGCATCCCGGACACTGCCGCGGCTCAAGGTAGTGGTTGTTCCAAAGACCCATGTCAAGAATTCACAGATCAAGCCAACAAGATAAGCCAGTGCCTCGGGGATGTGAATCTCAAATGGTGGCGTGTGGCCAAAATGAGCCCATATGGCAAGGCAAAAGTCCCTAAAGGTGATGGGTTCATTATTTTGAATAAAGAAGACTTCACCGGCTGCAGTCTTTGAAGACATCAAATTCTCAGCAGCCAGGACATGGGCATCGGCAACATTGGTAACATAAGTCACATCCCACAGATTCTGGCCATCGCCGACGATGAACGGGGTTTCGCCCTTGGCTATACATGCATGTATTGCAGGGACCAACCGGTCGTCTCCCGGTCCGCATAGCACAGAAGGCCGGAGAGAACATGTGGCCATTGTGTCGCTTGATTCATTGAGAACCATAGCTTCTGCAGCAGCCTGACTGCGAGAACATGCATCAGCGTACCAGAGACTACAACGTTGAATTACATCACTATATCAAACGGGAGATCAACCTTTGACTCGCCATAGATGAGTGAGGAGGAGGGTGTAGGCCATTTTTCATCGATGTTGTGGTACGGTACACCCATTTGATCCGTCACCACACAGCAAGAACTGGTGTAAATAAAGCCCTTGGCTCCACTCTGTTTAGCGGCCTGCAAGATTTGCTCTGTTCCTCTAACATTAGTCTTCCAAACATGCCCTTCAAGCCTTCTTCCAAATCGTTCACTCAGGGCTGGAACAATTCCGGCCGCGTGGATAATAACATCCGGTCTGGCTCGCTCTATGGCCTTGCTGACCTCCTCCTGGATAGTAACATCGACCTTAATGTATTCAATACCATCTGGTACGGTATGCACCGGCCCAGGTGGCTTGATATCTATGATGGTGATGGCACAGTCGGGATGTTTCTCTGCAAGAGCTCTGGCGATGGCTGCACCGACAAAACCGGTGCCACCTGATATCAGGACTTTTTTCATCGTGCACATCTTATCATGCTACGTTTGGAGATCTGGATTGATGTTGGGAGAAATGAGTGTTTGAATATATCAGCAATGAAGCCTTTGTAACCAGCAAAAACTATGAGATACATTGGGGGAGTGTTGGTTCTTTGCCCTCCACAGGAGTTCCATTTCCGGCTAGCCCTTCCCCTAAAACGTCACCAATGTAGATGCCGTACCGCAGAGGATACCATAGAGCCACCACCTCGATCGGAAAAGCCCTGAATTCATCATGACTTATTATTCTATGATTTGATCTAGTCGGTCCCATCCAGTTCCAAGCCATGTACACAACGCTGTATAATAGTAGTAAACGGTCCAAAAACGGCCTTGTCATAGACAGAAGCACAAATGAAGGAAAGTAAGTAATACATGAAGTCGAGCCTATGTTACTGTACAAGGTATCCATCCCAACTGTCGCAAACATAAAAAAGAAGAAGATACAAATCATGGGCGGAGGCATTGCGACTGGCCAAACTCCGGTTCAAATGCAAAACCCGCAGCATCCAACATATATGAAAGAAACGCTCTATCTTGTTCTGCCTTTCCACATCCATCTCAATTATTTAGAGCACCCGGCAAAGAACCAAGCCTCCCACCTGCTTCTCGACACACTCTCGCGCTTCCATGATACCGCGGTCCGTCGATAAATATAAACTTTCGCCGGGGGACCGCAAGCCTTCCACATACCCACTCTTTTCTCCGCGAATCACTTCTCGAAGGCCTGCGACATCGATCGTGACCCTTCTCTTAGGCTTGCTAACCATGCTCATCTTGCCGAGGACGGGATCGCTCTGCCAGTACTTCAGCCCGAGCCAAAGACGCCTTGAGGCGACATTGCTTTGGGTCAACGATTGTACACCTTCAACTTCATCATTTACCGAGGGAACACCCAGGAGAGTATGTTGAGGAGGGGGAGTTGGGCCTCCGCGGACGACAGAAGAGATGTAGCCAGAGTTCTGCAGAGCAAGGCACAGTTTCAGGTGTAGCTGCGTGTTCGGGATGGATGTGAGACCCAGGCGGGCCTTGGTGGCGTTGTTTAGATGGGAGCAAACGTGGGCGAGGTTGACAAGAGACATTTTGGATCGTAGGTTGCCGAAATTGGCCCAATTGAAGGGACCCCTTGAGTGTTCCGACGGTGTGCGGGAGAGCCAATAAATCACTGGGGACGGGGGAGAGTAGGTATGAGCACTACTTTTCGATTGTGAAGGAGGGGAGGGGACAAATACACCTACCGAAGACTGAACCTCTTGGGAAGAACGACTCAGAAGGGATGACAGCAAGAAAACCCCCCGTTTCAGGTGTAGAATCTCCGTAATCAACGTTGATGGGCCGTGAAGTTGCGATGATGCGGAAGCTCAAATGAAATTTTCGGAGAACGATATGACGGCTCCGACGGGGTGTTCCTATGTTCCTATAGGCCGCCAGCCTAGTAGGGCATCAACTAATCACGGCGCCAGGATGCATCTCGAAGCGCCCTCTAGCCGCCGGCCTTCTAGACACTACAGCTTATTCCCCTCATTGAATCGTTCTATATATAATGTTGCCCCCAAGTGCTCTATCGCGTACTTCTATGCATGTCTATTCACCTCCCCCTTCAAATAGACCCCCACCCCTCACCCCCATCGCAACTGCTCCTTTTTATACTACACTATCACTATATACTGATAAGCCATCACCATGCCCCCGTTGCCGGGTGAAGAGCGTGCGCTGACGGTGTAAGTCGTACACTTTCCCCGCAAGACCCCCCTCTCTTTCAAATGTGATAAGCTAGCCTAACCCTCTCATAGCTTTACCGATATTCATTATTATTTCACAACTCCGACTCCCAAGCCTCTCTATCATCGATTTGATAAGGGCTCCTATCTATATCTGTATCACAATGCGGTGCAGCGTAAGATGAGAATTGAAGTAGCGAATAATCCTGGGACTCGTGATCAAGATGCATTCAATGGCGGTTGGTGCCTTTTCACCCATCCTCCGCATAGAGTGACTTTCCTCGCTGACTGATGTCCAGCTCTGGATCAGGTCTATCTGCGCCATTCCACCCAGTTTCCAACGCTATGTACTTTAACTGTGGACGGCCGTCCGCCATCACAGGGCGCGCAGGCGTTCCCTCCACCACCGAATGTCAGTCCTCATGAATGGCTATTGCCAAGCGCTGATCCGCGTGACGAGGACAAGGAACTACGTCTGCACACGCTGGACATCTATTTCTGGACCTCAGATGATGCGGATAATTTCCTCAACCTGATGGAAAGTTATCTGTCTCCCTCACAGATCGAGACAGACAGGCATCCATATCCGCCTCCACCTCAGGCTTCAGTCAGTACGGTTGTACAACAACTAGAAAACGTGGCCATCACAGATCCGGCGTACCAGAACGGGCAGACTCGTAACTCTCAATCAGAACCCACACCCAACTCCCCACCCTCTACCCAGACGTTCTCAATACCAAGCAATCTTCCTCCTCCTCCACCACCTCCTCTTGGTGGTCCAGCCGCCACAGCACAGAAGACGGTCAATGGCACTATCCCTGCTGCAGAAGAACGAAATGACCCTGCCCAATTTACACCTCTACCATATAACCCTGCGGCCCCAGCTGCGCCTGAACCAATTCAACTTCGGGAGAAGACTCCCCCTCCGATTGACGGCGGAGATGGAACCGGACTCACAGCGGCCGCAGCAGCAGACAGCGGAGCACCGTTTACACCGCCGTCCCAGATCACCGGCGGAGGAGGCTTTGCATCTCCCCCAAACAGTCAAGGGCCCCCATACAGTATGCCTGGAAGCTACGCATCACCGCCACCGAGTGCTGGCCTAACACATTCCGGGTCGTTCTCGTCTCGATCATCTATTCAGAGTCCACCCAGCATCCCATCCTATACGCCATCATTCCTTGCCGGAGGAGCCGGGGGTCACCAATCCAATTCCCATCAGCCAGTGACCATGTCATTTGCTCCGCCTCCAAAGGATCCCAATGCTCATCTATATGGTCAGGCTCAGAATATATATGGCAGCCAGCCTCAAATCCAACCGGCGTCTCCACCGCCACCCCCAATTGGCGGGTACTCAAACTACTCGTATGATAAGGCAGCCGTGCAGCAACCAGTGTTAAATGACTACGACGTCCACAGGCAGCTGTACCGGCCCACTGAAGCAGAGGTCAATTCACATTCCCAGAAAATAGCTCAGAAGTCAATACAAAACACCGGCCGGCCCAGAAATTTGGAGGAAAGAGCCCACCGAATGGAGAGTAGTGTTAATAGGTTCTTGAAGAAGCTAGAGAAAAAAATTTGATGCACGGAGTTCAGATCAGACGTTCTGGAGTCCGTCACTCCTAAGTGCTGTATTGCTGTTGTTGCCCCTGTACACGAAACGGCTATATAGCATTTGCTTTTCGAGATTTTCATGTGGTGTTAGTACTCTTGGGATATTGTATCGGATGTTGTCTTGGATAATTCCCTGGATTTGTTCAGAGGCTTTGAATCGGATTGTGAGCTATTGAAAAACGGAGTCTTGTTCTCGTGCTACCCAGAACAGTAGATGCTGAGCAAAACCTCAAAAAAAGAAACATAAAAGAACAAATCCCACGGCTCCAATATTGATGCAAAACTGCGGAGTAAACTTGCACTATCAAAGTTCAAGCAATAATACAAAGGATTAAACAACTAGAAGACCCGGGACAAATATAATAACAGGAGAATCGAACAAGGTAAAAAAAAAGCCTGAGAAGAGAAAAGGCAAATAGACGAATAAAAGTGAAAAGGGCGGAAAAGAAACAAGAACCGGATTAGACTCCTCCCAAGTACATATGCAAGTGGGATAATATGCAGCCCCTAACGCTAAAAGCAACTGGAATCTAGAACTCCACCAGAAAATGCTCCGACATGCATACATCGTCGGCCCTGCTCATATTGTGAATGAGATGCTTTCGAAACAAAAAACCAAACCAAAAAAAGTAAATCAAAGAAGGGTAAAAAAGGTCCGCGTAGATGATAACATGTATCTGGTCGCATTACGAATAAGACGGGTATGAAGAAATTATAAGTCACAAGAAGCGAAGTATGGATGTAAATATAGACATTCATGTAGCACCATGATTGTCTTGGCTGTGCTCGCTCTTCAGTTAAGAGACAAGTGGCCAACGTCGACATCAACGTCGTCTGCCTTGACCTCTAACTTAGCAACATTCTCAACAGGCATCTCTTCAGCAGTGGCAGCTGGAGACTCAACATCAGTTTGTTCCTTGGTCTCTTCGGTATTAGAAAGCCCAGAGGGCTCAACGCTCTGGGCATCTGACGCCTCGTCGGCAGAGATGGTGAGCTCTTGGGTTGATGGAGCAGCGAGAGTCTGTTCTTCGGAGACCTCTGTGGCTTTGATAGGTTGCTCCAGCTCAGAGGGTCTAACTGGTGCGGTTTCAGAAGCCACCGAGAGTTCGACGGGCAAATTCTCCGACTGCTTCTCAGCGGTGGGTTCCTTCTCGATTGTATCAACTGCCGAGTCAACCACGGCTTGAACAGGCTCGTCCGCAACCTTGGCATGATGCTCTGTAGCATCCACATGTGCACTATCCTCCCGTGGATCAACTGCCTTTGCCTGTGGTTCTTCTTTCTCAGTAGACACTGGCTGCGGCTTCTCCTGTGGCTTTTTAGCCACACTCTTCTCCTTCGTAGAGCGCGAGCTGTGGGCCTCCGTCTTCGAAGTAACTGGTCTTACTGGAGCCCGGGTCGCCCGGGAAGGCCGGGGTGGACTCTTCATTTCAACCTTTTCATGAGCTTTGCTGGCAGAACTAGCGGTGGGGCGCATCATTCTAGCCAGAAATCCCTCGTCAACCGCCCTAGAACTGGTGTTGCTCACTCGGGAATGCGGGCGGTCATGTGCTGGTTGACGTTGGAGAGAAGGTTGGGATGTCTGCTTGCGAACGCTAGAAGCAGTAGTCGTGCGGTGGATTCCACTTGTCGCATTCTTCAAGCTCGACGGCTTTCGGGACAAGCTAGAGGTAGTTGTTCCAGTAGCTCCTCCTCTAGTGGCCGATGACAGAGTTGATGTCGTTGCTGAAGCGGGCGGACGAGCCGACTTGGTTGGCGGTCTTGATTCCGGCTTGTTAGTGCGAGATGCACTCGTCGCTGCCGGCTTGGTTGCCTCGCGTGCCGGCATGGAAGAGCGAACAGGTCGCGTAGCAGTCTTGGCTGTCGTGTTTAAAGACGAACGGCTTGTCTTGGTGATTGGAGCTTTGGGCGAGTCCCTAGTGGCAGGAGGTCTGGGGGAGCGTGCCGGCTTAGAGGCCTTAGCATGGTCGGGCTTGGCAGGAGATGGTGGAGTTCGCGGATGTGCGGCAGACTTCAGGGTCGTAGACGTCGACTTGGACGCAGACCGACTGGGTGAAACTTTATCCGCTGGGATGGTGGATGGGCGCTTAGTGACTGTCTGCGTCTTCTTCGGAGATGGCGCAGCAGAGACGGTCGAGGTGGGGTCGCTTCCCTTATGAGGGAACGCTGCTTCCTTGGCCTGAGGCCTTGCACCCTTTTCGGGAGAGGTCACTTGTGTGATCACTGTTTCCACCATGTCGCCTGACTTGGTCTCATCCGAGGTTTGCTCGTTATCTAAGCCATTGCTGATTGGGGACGACAAGGGACTTTTCAAGGGGGCGTTCAGATCATCTGAATTGAAACTCCTCACCCTCGACGAGGGAGCAGCAGGGCTGTCACTGCGACTACTTGCGCTTCTCAGCCCAGCAATGGCGCCAGATTGAGTGGCCCCATCAACAGCTATGAAGCTCGCACGCACTTTCGACAGAGGCCTAGAACCCGAGTGCTCAGAACCGACGGGAGATCGACCGCGGGAGGGTGGGGACGTGGTATTCTGGTTGCTGTTGTTGTTATTGTTGTTGTTGTTGTTGTTGTTGTTGTTGTTGTTGTTGTTGTTTTCGAACCTGGCGAGCAAGCTCCTCACACCCGGATGAGCGCCCGTATCCGGCATGGCGTCTAGTCAGGATGTTCAGGGGCCGAGGCAAGGGGGTTGAAGCGTGACAATGCTCGTCGAAGCGAACGGAATGAGTGAAGTAGACTGACTGTTGGCGCGAGCTTGGGTGGTGAACGACCGGAGGGAGATCCTTGCTATGATATGCGAGCAGAAGAACGGCCAGCACACGATAGAACGCGCTTCTCGGGTGGTGACGTGATGGATATAAACAGAGCCAACAGTTCGAGTGGAGAACAAATCAGCAATCTAGCGAGACAACGTGCAAGTCAAGCATAATGGGATATCAATGAGAGAATTATGCGTCCGACATGGAAAATTCGCGTTGAGAAAGTAGAAAGAAAGATTGAAATTACCAGACGGTACGACAGGGAAAGGAGAGAAGAGAGAGAAGGAGAGGAGGGGGGAGGGAGAAGAGAAGAAGAGAAGAGCGAGGGAAAGGAAGAGTGGCCCAGCAACGGGGATGTGGAGGGACAAGCCCTGCAGCCTGAGGCAGCGGTTTCAGGGGCAGCGGATCCGCTTCAGTTTAATGATTCTCCTTCGTCACGAATGTTCCTGGGAATTACTTCTTTCGACTAATTGTGGACTCATAGTATCATCGTTTGACCCACTCCTTGTCACAGGATTCCTTTCCTCTTCATTGCTCCAGACCAATATATTGATGGAGTCCCTTGCCGGTCGTTTTACGTTCGATAATCCCGGCAACGGGCGTGCCCATCGATGTCATCTCCTGCAATGTCCTCTCTCGTCTGAAAGGCCAGATTGCAGGTCAGGTCAGGATAGATGAATAATACGTCCCTAGGGCTAGTTAACTAGAGACCCTGCGTTGCCTATTTCTTTCTAGACGATGGATGGTTGCATTGCACTACTCTGTACTACTTGTATTAGTCTATGCCTTGCTGTGAAGTATTAATAATAATA